TTGGATATCACAAACATGAACAGTTCAGGAAGTCAAAAATGGGGGACGAATTAGCTTTAATCCTGGAATTATTTTGTGGACTTAGAGGAATTGAAACAAAGCTAAAAGAAGCATTCTTACGAGAAATTTAAAGTTTGTTGAATAATGCAGCTTCAACAATAAAAGAGGAAGGAAGGGTTCCTGACTTTTGCAGTTTTTCGATGGAAAATGAACTGGGAGAAAATCTAATTCAATTTCAAAGTAAACATTCTCTCTCTTTGAGTGACAACAGAGTGATCTGTCATCCAGAACACAAGCATCAATTTAAAAAATGCCTGATATTGATGGAATATTGGGAGGATGACCTGGAATCCATGGATTTTAATGCCAGGAATCGAACTGCCAGTAAAATTGTTCGTTACACGGGAAACTAAAACATGTATGTCAAGTTTATTCAAATATATGATGTTTTTAAAAATGATGTTTAATAATCCGTCCCTTCAAAATCCAGAAAGAAATGACTTTTTGCGTATTCCAAAGTATGAATTGTTTTGTATACCTGATTGGAGTATGGGGAAACTGTTTAATCCTCCTTCCGAGTTTTATTTATTTCTCCAAAACATAATTGGATCGCCTACGGAATTAGCTATAAGAAGACAAATTAAAGATGTTGAAAATGAGATTTATAATTCAGCTTCTTCGACAATACAGCAACGTTCTATTCCAACTTTTTTTCGATTTTCAACTGGAAGTCAAAGGGAAGGATTCCAACTGGGAAATTCTGACGACGATTATATATAATGTTGGACAAATCACGTGGTAATTAGTCATCCAAAACAAGCAAACAAATAAAACAAAGATAAAACAACTCTAATCATGATGGAGTATTGCGAGGATAGTCCAGGATCCGTTCTTCTGAGAGTCATTTATCGGTGTGCATGTACATGCAAGAAGGTTTGCGATAGCTACTTTAAAACAGGAAATGAAACATATATGTCAAGTTCAAAATATAAAAAGGCTACACTAAAATTGGTAAATAAAGATTCCCAAAAACATGGATCTTGTACGAGTGGCCTTCTGTTTAATGGGACACGTTTTGACAATGCTCATTCATTAAAGTGCGAATTTTTCCCTGAAGCAACAACTCCATGGATATACCGTTGCGTAGAAAAAGGTTGGCCTAACACAGCTATACTGCAGTATGCCAAAGTGACAGGTTGCTATCTTGTTCCTGTTGGTCGCAAGGGCTCTAATTATGAAGATCACGAATGGCTTATATCATTTAGTCTTATTGAATTGAAATGCGTTCATTCCATGAGCCATGTCCAGTTTATGTGTTATGGACTATTCAAGATATTCCTCACTGATTTTATCAATCCCAATTCCCACAATGAAAAAATTGCTCTGTTCCTATTTCTTGAAAACTATTATGTTCTACATGATACAGGAAAAAGGAGTCATTTTGGATCCAAGAGAATTTCATAGAATGTTTCTGGCAGTGCTTTAAGTTACTGATCTTTTCCGTTTACAAAAGAAATTTACCAAACTTTTTCATTCAAGACAATAACATGTTTCAGATTAAAATTGTAGGTTTTCGCAAAGAAAAGCTCTTTGAAGAACTTTGCAATTTTTACGATAAAGGTTACAAATGCTTGACTCCATACATTGAACGGCATAGAAAGCAACTTAGTAAAGAAAATTTGTCAGAATATATTACATTTTGTTATGAGGTGTATGCTTCCCTTGTATTATATTTGGAATTCCCAGTATACGAGTTCTATAAAAAGTATTTCTCTAAAGTACGAGAACTTAAAAGAAATGAAAGTTTGTAGTAATACTTGCAAAAAACTTTAAATGAACATTACAAGTCGATTTATATAAACCAGCGTTTCATTTTGCTGGGAAATCCTCAAATTAAAGAAAAGGCACATCAGTTTGAAAATGTCCTATGTGCTGCAGCAAATTCCTTATTCATTTCAAATGAAGTGTTCCTCGTGATGTACTTATACAGAATATCCAACTTTAAGAAGGCCATTTCTGTAGCTGAACGTCTGTTGCACACATTTCAACAACCAAGTGTGATATACTTACCAGGATCTACTGAATATGAAGATTTGAAATACTGCTTACCATCGACAGATTTATTGGGACAGTGGTTGTAAATATAGCTTACCCCAGCTATATAACATTTCTGTATGAATTAGAAATTCAGCAAAATGCGATGAAGGAGAATGGAATCCCGGCCATCCATATGTATTGACTCTCATGCTCGTAGTCCTCTGTAATAGCGAGCGCAGCGAGCGTCGCGAAGCGACGCTCGTCACTGCGAGCTATTAAAGCAACGCCTGTGCGAAGAGAAAATTCGGACTACTGCACATTCATTCGATAGAATTTTTTATGCCGTAATTTCGACCCACAATGCATCACTTTTTTAAGCTACGTTAAAGCTACGTTCTCGTGAGAATAGTAGCAAAAGTTTTACTAAAAGTAAACATGCCCTGATTTAATGGATAAATATTGAAGATAAATAGCAAACGAAACGTTCTTCGTTTATTTTCAGCACTGTTCAGGGTTCTTTGGGGGAAATGTAACTTACATACCATTCGGCAAACCTCGGCTGATTCCGTGAGATGAGGTACAAATCGGCCGAGGTGTGCCGAGTGACTTACATACGACGTCATGTGACGTCAGAGTCTAGACGCATCAAATGTCACGTGCAGTTTGACGTACGAGCCCGATTTAAATTCTAACAAAATAAACATCTGCGCTCGCCATAACGGTCGCACCGTCAACATATTAAAGAGGATAAAAACGAGAAAGGAAAAAGAGCTGCCTTAGATAATTTACGAAACTTGCTGGTGGAGGATAAAGGAAAATTTGTACCGACACATCTTTAGTATATCTCGCTTCAGATATTAGGGATCTGTCAACAGTTGTCCGGAGATTTCACCAGTGCGTTGGATTCTTACAGTACTTGTACTATACTAGTACATGTACTAGTAAAAGCACTTGGTTGTCTTGGTCTTTTTTGGATCATAGGAGCTACAAACGCTAGAAAACTACAGTGTAAAAAATCAATGACTGAATAAGAAAAGAGACAAAGGACAAGCAAATCAAAATAAAGTTATTTTTGATCTTCTTTGAAAAGTTGGAATTATTACAGAAAATGAAAACATTCTTAATTTTATTTACTAGTACATTGTATTCTAAAACATGCATGTTTCTCCATTAAAAAAATGTTAATTTGAATATCGCATGATTTGTGTAATAATTTAACACCTGATTATGTTAGTAAAGATTTTTCATGTGTCAATAAAATAAGAGGTGGATTTTGTTAGAAAACTTGCATGCAGTTATGTACTAATACTAGAGGCTACACTTCCTGAGGCCTAAGACAAAAATACAATCCTGCGCACTTTTTAACCCTTTTACTGCCAGAACTGTGTCTAATTTGTGCAGTTGATACGCCAGAACTTTTACTTACATGTACAAGTATCAGAATGCATTGAATATTCTTTTAATGATAAGCAGCATCCTAAAGATAATTTTTGATTGTACAACATTTAAGAAATAAAATATCATTTTTAGAGTTTCATTGGGGTATGACATGAAGTCGGTCACGTGATCAAATTCTATAACGCCCGAAGGGCGTTATAGTAAAGATCACGTACCGACTTATTATATTTTACGTTTTTATTCATGTTTTACAGAAATATAGGCATTATTTAGACTTTAATTTTGAAATGCAACGTTACGTATCTACGACGTTATGTGACGTCACAGTCAGAACTTTCCAAATTGCTCGTGCAGTTTCCTTTCCATACGCAAGAAAGTCTGATCATGTGACCCACTGCATGTCATTGAAAATTGAATTTCAATTTTATAATCAGTGTTATATAAGGAAAAACATTAGCAAATGTAAATAAGTAAATACATATAGAAGCACATAGGTGTACGTATATGTACTTGTAACATAATATTAATTGATAAACCACCTTTAAGACATATCGTTTTTGAAAACTTAGATAATAACAGAGAAGTACATTTAATTCGTATTAGGGTCCTGTCACGAAATTTGTTAATAAGTTTTATTTTAAGAAAAATGTGACCTTAATTTGTGAGAAAACCATGTGAGCTTTAAAAGTTCGAGGACCACTGTATGTTTTTGTACTGGACCAACTTCTTGATTTTTGCCCTGAGTAAACCCTATACGAAATTACCTGTCTGCATGTGTGTTTTAAACAAAATTACATTTTATACGCCATATAAAATATAAATAACGATTTTAACATATTACTCGATCTTAGATGATATTAGCTTATTAGATTAGGTTATTTAAATATATTATTTTGTCTTTCCTATTACTATCATTTTTCTATCTATCATCAGATGATTGAATTCAATTAGGGTTTTTCATATTTTAAAAATTATATCAGGTTACAAGCAATATCTTCTGAAACGAAAGTAGAAACATGACCGTAGGTTGAATGTCCACCATAAGAAGAATGGTAAATTAATTAATCTATAACAGCCATGACAGCTATATAGTATTCCATTATTTTAAACTTTATCTATTAAAAAAAGGAGATATTTCGTCATTTCTATCGCCTCATGTAGCGACAATAAAGATGAATGAAATACAGGTCGAGGATCTGATCTAGTACTCTTTTTATATACAGTAAATAAGACATTTTTTAAAACGTGCTAATTTCGGCGATTTTTTTTTTATTTTAATGAGAGTATTCAAGCACACATAGAAAAACACATAATAAACAAAATACACCATGCTGTAACCAAGCGCCTATGATTTTAATCAGGTTGCGCTGCAGTGAGCGATCGTCAACACAGCATTAGACCGTTCATAATATGTGCATTAAGTTACACAGGATTACTGGCTTAAGTTAACCAATTTTAGGCTTCAAAAGCCAGATATTGAATTACTTTCGTTATCAGTTCTTCCTTTTGGTATACTACATTGTGACACTGGTTCTCTGCCCTATAATTAGTTACGTTATATATATTCTATATAGGAACCAGTAGAGAAAGTAGGGTACCAGTCCAGTTGTTTGTAAAAAGACGCATATTAGGACACATATTGCAATGGAAAGTGAATCAAACATCTCTCAGGTAGTATACCTGTTGGTTCAAATAGAAATTGGTACTCCAGCAGAAGTGGATATCAGGAGACAGGTTAGAGATATTGAAGAAACTATTTACAATTCAGCTTCATCGACAGTAGAATTGCCCTTTTTAAGACATCCTAATTTTTTCCGAGTGGCAACTGGAAGTCAAAGGGAGGGTTTCCGATTTGAAGGGTCCGACGCAGATTTTCTCTACTGGTGGACCAATCACAAAGTTATTTGTCACCCGAAACAAGAAAACCTATACGACAAGGAAACATTGATTATGATGGAGTATTGTGATGATAGTCCAGGATCTGCCCTCCTGAAAGTCAAAAAGTGGTCTGACTGGCGTATTATAAGTGATAGTTATGTGGCATTTAAAGATGGAACCTACATGTCGAGTTTGAAGTACCGGGAATCCACCAGAAACCTAGTAGTTAAAAATTCACAAACACATGGACCTTGTGCAAGCGGTCAGTTGGGTAATGGAGTGTATTTTGACAATGCTCATTCACTGAAATGTGACTTTATTACACCGATAGCTTCATCATGGATAAAGCGATGTCTAGCAAAGGGCTGGCCTGATTCTACCGTATTGCAATATGCCAGAAAAACAGGCTGTCATTTTGTTCCCATTGGTCGTAGAGACTCGCCAGATCAGGATTATGAATGGCGAATTTCTTTCAATCTCGTTGAATTGGAATGTGTGAAGTGTATGAACCATGTTCAGTTTACCTGCTACGGCTTATTCAAGATCTTTCTTAGAAAAGTAATCAGGCCGTTGATGGATGATAAAGAAATATTGTGTTCCTACTTTTTGAAAACTATTATGTTTTACATGATACAAGAAAACGAAAAATCATTTTGGTCTCCAGAAAACTTGATAAATTGCTTTTGGACTTGCTTTAAACATTTAATATCTTGTGTATACAAAGGGAATTTACCTAACTTTTTTATTCAAGAAAATAACATGTTCCAAGGTAAAGTTCTTGGTAGTTCCAGAGAGAGATTGCTTGAAACACTGCATTTGTTGTATAACAAGGGTTATGATTGCTTAATGCCATGTATTCCTAAAGAAAATATTACTCCATTTTATCGGTTTAGAAAATTTGTTAAAAATTTCAGTCTATTCACTGAGATAAATAATAAAGTAGGATTGTATGTAGAATTTGCTTATTTAAACCACATGGAGATTCATATGCGCACCATAAAAAGACTTCTGCAAAAGGAAACGATGACTCTTGCACAAATGATGGCAGTACGACAGCATGTTTGTTCATTGTTTACTCACTTAACATTTATTTTACTGAAGTCGAAAAGTGATGTTTGTAAATCTGGTGCCTTTGTAGAAGTTGCAGCCAAACATGGATTCCTATCAGATACGATTTTTTATGTGATTTATCTTTACAGAATGTCAAGATTTGAAGAAGCCCTACGCTATGCCATTAAGAACAAGAAAGATCTCAGACGACCCCATGTTTTACATATACCCAACTCAGTTATATCAACAGAAACAATTGAATTCTTTGGCAAAAACAAATCATGGTCCTTCAAGCTCAGAGAATATGTTGCAGTAGAAGTGATACTATCTAGCTCCGTTACGTATTTAGAAGAACTAAGGATTGAACAGCATGTGGGAATGATGGAATATACACATTTCGCTATCCCTCCATACGTATTAACACTTTTTCTCATTATTCTTTGCAACATACGGCTTGGAGACATAAAAGGCCGCGATATTACCTTATGCGAATTGAAAAATTTACTTAATAATGATAAAAGGAAATTTGTTCCAATTGATCTAAAAAATACCTCTTGGCATATCCTTGGGATTGCTCAACAATTGTCAGGGTATTATTCGGAAGCATTTGAGTCGTACAGAGTATCACTAACTCATTCTGACAGATGTGTGATATTCAAGGCTAAAATTATCAGAATGCTGACTGTCGTATCAGATTTAAGAAACAAAAATGTCCGAATTAGTTTAAAACGTCACAAAGACACAAATTCAAAAATGGAAGGAAATAAAGAGAAAAGACGGAGGACAAGCTTTAATTGAGCTTTGATTAAACGGAAAATTAGAGGGAAATACTGCTTGCGCTCACCTGTGCCTAAACATAAGATATTCTAACATTTTATGTGAGGCATGTCGGGAGAAAAATTTCACAGGAGATAATGTTAAAATCGTACACAAAGAATGTGCTGTTAAGGATGCTCTGAACACTTGCAAAAAGTCCTTTTCGGCTTTTTAAAAAAAAATATATCATATAAATGTGCATATTGAAACTATTAAATTCATTTAAACATAGGGTACCTGCCCTAATTCTGCAAAAAAAAAATGTTCAAAACAATGGTTTATGCTTGAACAGAAAAAAAAACTGTTGTTTACTAAAATTGGGAAATTTAATGTAACAATGAATTCAATTAATAATTCTTGGTATAATACGCGTATTTTAGTCGATTACATGTCGATGTGCTGTTAAATGTAAATAACCATTTTCCATCTCATTTATAAGGGCAGATCACTCTAAAAGCATAAAACTAACCTACAATCGAAATTCTTTAGTGTGCAGTGTTTAGAGCCTCCTTAAACAATTCTGATGAAGGAACTGTATATTTTAAACTCACCTGAGCCAAAGGTTCAAATAAGCTTTTCTGATCACATTTTGTCCGTAGTCTGTTCGTCTGTCTAGCTGTCTGTCTGTCCGTCCGTCTGTAAACGTTTCACATTTTCGACTTCTTCTCAAAAACCACTGCCCCAATATTAACCAAACTTAGTACAACGTATCCTTGGGTAATGGGGAGTTTAAATTGTTTAAATCAAGGGCCAAGTCTTTTCACAAGGGCAGATAATCAAGAAAAGACAAAAATAGGGTGGGACATTAAAAAATCTTCTTCTCAAGAATCACTTAGCCAGAAAAGCTGAGACTTTTGTGGAAGCATCCTGGTGTAGAGTAGATTCTATATTATTCAAATTATGACCCCCGGGGGTAGGACGGGGCCACAATAGGGAATTAAAGTTTTACATAGAAATATATATGAAAAAAAACTTTAAAACTCTTCTTCTCAGGAACTATTTGGCAAGAAAAGCTGAAACTTATGTGGAAGCATCCACATGTAGTGTAGATTTTTAAATTGTTCAAATTATGACGCATGTGGTAGGGTGGGGTGACAAAATGTATTACAAGGGGTGTATTGGTATAGAACAGCATGGTCAAAGCTACTCAGGTGAGCGATGTGACCCATGGGCCTCTTGTTTTTACTAATGTGGGTTTGAATGAGGACCAAAACTTGGTCACATAATTTTTTTTAGGAAAAGGGATACAAAAATATAACAATAATTTACACATAAACGATTGTGTTGGATTTATTATTGCTATTTTTTATTTTTGCAAAAAGGAAACTTTTATTTATCTCTAAATTTTCCTTTCTAGAAGCTTAAGAAGGGCCAGTGTTGTCTTAATATAATATATAGATGAAATGCCTAAAGCATCAAATGAAGTTGGACTTTTTTTTCTTAAATGATAGATACTTATTTCTGTAATATAAATACAGGCAACACAAAATCATTCATAGATATACTTAATATATACATCAATTATTGAAAAGAAATTAATCATTCATGTCCTTCAAGTGATTTCAAAATAACAAAGGCCATAATTTTTGGAGACGTGTTTGACAAATTGTGACAAATTGATAAATAGTGTACTCAGTATTTCTTTATGTAACGTTTGATAAAAATGTAGATTTATCATCTGGATTACAATTGAAAATTATATATTTTGTGTTTGAAAAAAAATGTTTTTTCCTAGTATAAATTTTAGCAAGATTAAATATTTCTTGTAGTAGTATGAAGTGAAATGTTTTCTTTTTTGAACTATATTAAAGTCGCTTAATCCGAAACCGGCACATATTATCTTACGCAATAAAAGTTCGTTATTACATAGAAAATATATAGAAATAAATTATGAGATTGATTTAATAGATTATTACTATAATCCTTACAAGGAAAAACTTAATCAAAAACCTTATTGACAAACAGAAGTTCCTGACAGGAAGTTAAGGTCTGTTGTGAAGTCACCTAGGAAAAAAATAAAGGACGAGAGCGCCTTTGATTGGCTTTCGGCAGGAATCTGGGCGTAATTGAAAAGTGAAAAATTTATTGACATGTCACATGAAATTTTAACATTTTTTTTATATATCGGGTTCCTGTGCAACAGGAAATGAAAATATTTTCCCGAAATTGAGCTTTGATTTACTAAAAAATGACTCGAAAATTGGCCAGATAAGACATTTGGTACAAAATGGTACATTTTTAAACACGTTTTTCCAAAATTTTTCTATCTCTGGGTCTTCACTGCATGATTTTGAAACGTTATTTGTGTGCATTTTATTTCAAAGAAACGAATACACTTTTTAAAAAATTGGAGAGAAGACCCAGAGACCACGAAAAACGAACTTTCCCCAAAAAATTCCAAATGCGTGAACGTGGTGCTTCTTTGTCCTTTTAAAATCAACTCCTTATGTGAAGCGGTGATAGCTCAATAAGTTGGGCTACCTGTTCAGTGCACTGCAAATGGGAAGTTTTTGGTTCGAGCCTAGCACGTGGCGTTAATTTTTTTTTCATGCAAACAACCATTTATTTTGTCAGTTTCGTTTTATGTGTACTGATATATTAAAATTTTGAATTAGATTAATTTCGGTTCAGTTTGGTTCTCGAGCGAAATCAATTCTAATCTTCTATTCTATATAATGTACATGTACACGTATTCCAATTCGCCTTTTCTCCAAAAATATTGTTGATTTGACAATTTTCCCTATATAATATGATTAACTTGCATCTTCAACTTTAATGAAATACTGTGGATAAGTTCACATAACTTTGTGGATTTAGAGATACTTTTATGAGTATTTTTGATTACTTAACTGCTAATTTTATAAACCTGAGGATTAGACTACCTTCATTCATTGCATTTGTACCTATCTTCGAACGAACATTATAGCTATCTTCAAATCAAGTAGGCCTATAGCAATCTTCAAATGAATTATACACAGGTATAATTGGTTTAAATCTATCTTTAATTTATTTAAGGATATGTAAAATTGATTTGAAGATAGGTACAAAATTATTTAATATTTGAATATATGCTCATAATATCATCCTGACTCGTAATGAAATCCACTAGAACCCTTCGAGTGTCTGTATTGGAGTTATACATTTTATTCATAAATTGATTTTGTACTACATGTATGTATTTAAGTTTAACAAATTAATGAAATTTTTCTAATACGTTGGTTGTGTGATACGGCATTTTAAGCATAGTACACACAATGTTTGAACAGGAAAAAAGCATTATGTAAACAGTAACAACCTAGTGACCTTTGCATCATTATTTTGTGTTCTCTGACCAATTCCCATCTGCTGGAAGTGTCTATTACTTTCAGAGATAATAAGTCCTAAACATTGGGTTGTGAAAGACATGGCGACAATTTATATTCTTTTACGCCGACTTGTCAATAATCAGACTCATGCCAAACTTATCAAGACGATCATTACGGAGAAGGCGGGATAAAAACAGATACTGGTCTTCTTTATGGTGGAATTATCGATTAGATCTACTCACAAAGTTGTTGGAATCTTTTGAAAATTGTGCCCATTAAATGACCAAAAAATCCATTTTCCAGACAAAAGAAATGTCAGTGTGCTGGATGTTTTGAACGACAGAATCTTAATATTTTTCATCTTAAAAAGAATTGCACTCGCTATTTAGGAAAATTTTTAAAAATCACTTAAAATAGCGTAATATTAGTTTTGCATTTCAACTCACAAGACCTTTGGTCTGTAGTATTATGAAAAAAATCTGTTCTGACATCAGGGTCATGTGATATCAGACAAAATAAATATCTAAGTACAGGATTGAATTTTATAAACAGACTGAGAGTTACTTAAAATAAAATGCATGTCACATCCAGTGAAAATAATGAAATTACCCTACAAGAAAATAGAAAATAGATTATTTCATGTACAAGACGCAGAAAAGGATGTAGATTTTCTTTCTTTGTGGATCTGCCTTTAAATGAAAATGGCCAATTAAGACAGCCATCCCCTATTGTAACAGGCCCTAATATAAAAATTAGCCATGCTCATTTCCACCGAGATCACTTAGTTTCTCAAAACAAATGCTTTGCTACAATATCCCACAAATGAAGGGCCTCTATTTTAAAATAGAACTTTTGACCAAGACCAAAAATTTGAATTCTTTTTCACCAAAGCATGCTTTTAATTATATTATGAATTAAATGCTAAATATTATGCATACATGTATGCTCTATAAGGTACTTGGACACAGATAAATTATTATTTTCTCTATTATTTTACAACTTATATATTCTAATAGCATTTCACACAAAAATTAATTAAAAATCTTATTTCATATAAAGATATTAAATTTCCAAATTTTTTGGCGGGTTTGATTGACACATCCTTTCACTTTCACAAATTTAATTTTATTCTTAATCCTTAAGAAAAGTGGCAATCTCGTTGTGTATAAATGAAAAATATTAATACTATAATCCAGAAAATTCAGAGTAGACATGTTCAAAAGCAAAACAAACATGCAATATATTGTCAGTCCATGCAGTTGTGGTAAGCAGACTGTGACAATTGAACGCACCCAGTGAATTGTAAACATCAACACGCGCCATGTTTACAAAAACTGTGTACATAACAGAGTGTGCTCGGTTTGCTAAACTCTGTACACGACTCTTAGTTCGGAATATCGATACTTGTGAAGGAGTTTTGCTTTCTAACATTTCTACTCTGAATAAAATTATTTTTCTGGATAAATGTTTTAATATCTCTCAATAATACACAAGATTGCCACTTTTCCTAAGGATTAAGAATAAGGTTAAATTTGTGAAAGTGCAAGGATGTGTCAATCAAACCCACCAAAAAACTGAAATTTTAATAACTTTTAAATGAAATGAGATTTTTAATTCATTTTTGTGTGAAATGCTATTAAAATATCCAAGTCGTAATATTATAGAGAAAATATTGACTTCAAATCTGTGTCCAAGTACCTTTAAAAATTTCAATTAATATTTCTTTCTTCCATGATCAATATGAAACATATATTTTATGTTATGGTATACACAAAAATATCTTCCCAAAAGCTCTTAAATTTTACAAGTCACACTAATTGAACTGTAGAATTTTTCCATTATTGCTTAGTCTTTTTACCCTCATTCGGATTCTGTATTTTTTCTTATGGATTTCCATGCACTGGAAAGGTTTCTTTTGCATTGTTGATATGCAGTCTGTTTTCAGGTTACAGTTTGTAATTTTGCTCTTGGAGAAATAAAGAAAAAAAAATTGTTAGTGAAGAAGTCATTTATTAGACTTTCATGTGTATGTGAGTGTAATTGATATAAAAGTAAATAAATACTTAATAAACAATTGTACACAGTAAACATTTTCTGTTAAACCAAGAAAAATGATTAAAAGTTCAGCTTCAGAAACTATATATAGATAGATGTATCTGTAGAGTAACTCTCATACAAAATAAACTTCTTCCATTCACTAAATACAATACACATCCAAAACAGCTGATATTAAAAAAAAAATAAAAATTATTTCCTGTTGCTAAATATTTACACACTCACAAAGCTTTCAAACTCTAAGAACTATGTCTTTATTAAGGAAGATCTTCCCCTGAATAAAACTTTGTCCATCACTGTGTGGCACACTGATCTTCCGAGTTGATGTTATCTGTTGGCAAGTCTTTTTTAGATGACTTGGGGGCCCTAAAACTTGTTTGTTGCGGTACACTAGCAGATACTTTTGGTATAGAAAAGTCCAGATCTATTCCCTTGGTGTCTGAAAAAAGTAAAAAAAAAAAAAAAGGTCATATTTTAATAGTGGTCCAAGATCATCTCTAAAATCAAATTAAAGTGTGTATATATATAAAACAACAACAAAAACCAAAAGATGGCAGAATTGGGAAATTTCTCCATTTTCTGAAATAATAATCATACTCATTGCTTTGACGGTATGTCCTTCAATCACTTTCAAAATATATATTTACCAGTAATATTTTATAACTAAAAAGTGCAAAGGCACAGTTTTGAAGTTAATATTTTCTCAGATTTTCTGTATAATATCACAACTTATATATTGCAATAGCATTTATTGCAAGGGTCGCAACATTTGTCATGCATTACCTTCTAATGGTTCTTTCTTTACAACACTTGTCAATTTCCCATTTTCTTCCCTGGTTTAAAAATAAAATAACATTATTAGTTACAAATTTTGTAGACAATAAATTAAGAACATGCAGATTCCATTCTACATGCAAAAGGTCTCTAAAATAATTAAAGTGAATTACCAAAGTAAACAGAGAACTGCCACTTCAATTTATTTACCCTCTTTCTCTGGGTAATAGAATATAACAATTAATCTTAAAGACAAAAATTAACAATATACCTTGTTCCCTATGTATATATTTGACTGTATTTGGTCAATTGATCTCTGCCTACCTTTTCTGCTGCCGATTTTCTTTATAATGTTTAAGCTCTGCCTCCATCTGTAACACTCTATTGGTCAGTTTTTTATTCTCCTTCTCCAATCGTTTGTTCTCATTCTTCAACAGAAGATTGCTGTACTGATCCACGGCTCCTGAACATGAGGCCTTGTACGCGATGGCCGAGTCATTGTTGCTCGTATTACTACACTGGCTGTTGTTATCACCGGGCCTCACCACGGGGTCTTGGAATAATGTCTTTTTTGTTGGTGGTATAAGAACTGTACAAGAAAAAGAGAGAAAATGTTATCAACCCCCATGAAGTACAGTAAAGAATTTAGGGTGAATATGAAAAATGCATACAACATTAGCAACTCAATTACAAACCAGTAGTTTCATTGTCCTGCTGCAGGCGACGAATTTCATTTTTCAAGGTTGAAATCCTCTTTTCATATCTGTCCACCACTTCACTGAGTTCCTGTTCCCTGTAGGGATATATTTAATAAGAATACATGAAACTCAAAGGTGCTGAAGCAACAACAAAAAATAGTGACTGGACAAATGCTTTCAATTAGGTTCAAACTGATAAGAACAACTACAATATATATCTCATAGTATGATAATTCTGTTAATTACCTTTCTTTGGTGGAGTCCTTGGCTTTGTCCAGTTCCATTCTGAGAGCAAAGTTCTCTCTCTTCTTGTCTGCCAGTTCTCGGGCTTGTGGAGTGAACAAGTCTTCTTCGTTTCTCTCTGGTAATAAGTAGTGTTCAATGAATAACACAGATATTAAAGCCTTTCATTAAAAATATTTCAGTAAGATTGATGTACTTTTAATTCCCATCAATATTTTCAATTTAAGAAATAATAGATTACTAACATTTTTACATGTAATTTAAAAGCTTGCATAGTGGTACTCCATTGTTCCTTTTCCAAAATTTCAATAAACTCAATATGTCTACTTGTTAATACCCCTATACCTGATAATTTCCTGGACTCCTTAAGCCTCTTTTCTAGATCTACTTTGTTTTTCTCTAACTCCGCCACTCGTTTGTTCAGATCCACCACTTGCTTCTGGTATCCCCGGAGATGTTGGATCTCTCTGTCCTTGACCTGTAGGTCCGCCCACAATTTGTCGTTCTCCTTTTCCTCCTTGGACAGTTTCTCCATGACCTCCTGACCCACAACCTTACTGTCAACTTCCTGAGGAGATAAATAACAGACAGTCACCACCCATTGATAACTTTTCAAGATATTTTCAATTCAAAAGCATAGCACTATCGGACTTAAAAGTGTTCCCAAATAAGGACTGGTTGGTGCCCATTTACATAGACGTGTGACTTGATGACTTAAATTTATATCTCAGATATGTTTATATCAAAGGTCAAATATATTTTTCATAATTGGGTCTGCCAAAAGATGAACAGAACATAGGTAATCAGAGATTACAGAGCTCACCTCAACAAATGTTGTCTTTAAGTAAGGCAAAGTCACACAATTAACTCTTACAGAAGTGTACATTCCAAAAATGAAAATATTTTAGCAATTTTAATCTGATTTTGAAATAGACCTACATAAAAAATTTAAACTAGTTCTTCATGAAAATGTAATTAAAATCCAGCATCTGAAGCAAATTTGAGAGTTTTCATCTCTTGATGCAACATTTGTGCAAGTTTGGTTTATACAATGTTATATAAGCCTTATAGTTTTTTGGTAACAGACCTGCAACCATAACTTTTACCTGGTCTATTAACTAAAAATGTATGTCGAATTCAGCATCCGAAGCAAGTCCATTAGTGTGCATCCTAAGATGTATCACCCATGCAGGTTTGCTCATTATAGGGCTCATAGTTAATTGGAAATGAAACATGCATCAAAAACTAACATTTTCACTCATCAACAAAAAGTAGGTCAGATTCAGCATCCGAAGCAAGCCCGGTAGTATGCATCCTTATATGTATCATCCATGCAAGTTTGGTCATTAAAGAACTCGTAGTTACTTGGAAATGAATCAGGCACCAAAAACTTTAACCTATTCACTCAACTGGAAAAATGTATGTTCATCAAAACAGCATCCGAAGCACTGACCTGGAAGTATACATCCTTATATGTATAATCCATGCAAGTTTGGTCAACATAGGGCTTATAGTTACTTAAAAATGAAACCTGCACCAAAAACTTTAACCTGTTCAGTCAACCAGAAAATGTAGGTCAGATTCAGCATCCGAAGCAAGCCCTGTAGTGTGCATCCGTAGATGTATCATCCATGCAAGTTTGGTCAACATAGGGCTTATAGTTACTTGGAAATGAAACCTGCAACAAAAACTTTAACTTGTTCACTCAACCGTAAAATGTAGGTCAGATTCAGCATCTGAAGCAAGCCCAGTAGTATGCATCCTTAGATATATCATCCATGCAAGTTTGGTCAACACAGGGCTTATAGTTACTTGGAAATGAAACCTGCAACAAAAACTTTAACCTATTCACTCAACCGTAAAATGTAGGTCAGATTCAGCATCCAAAGCAAGCCCTGTAGTGTGCATCCGTAGATGTATCATCCATGCAAGTTTGGTCAACATAGGGCTTATAGTTACTTGGAAATGAAACCTGCACCAAAAACTAAAATTTTTTTTTGTTAATCAATTAAAATGTAGGTCAGATTATCCTAATAGGCTCTTTCCACTGGACACATAAGCTTACCTGTAGTGTGCATTTAATTGCTTATTGTATCATCCATGCAAGTTTGGTCAGTTATATAAATTTTGTTATAGTTGACTTGGAAATAAACCTTCACCAAAAATCACCAAAAATGTTAACCTGCTCCAAAAACATTATTTTTGGTCATTCCTTTGCTGAAATTGCAGCATCTGAAACTTTGACTGATGTAAAATGAAACACATAGAACCATCTTCCATGCATGTCTAATCAATATAGGACATAGAAGTACTTAAAAAGAAAACTGCTCCAAAAAACTTAACCTTAACCTGGGACGCCGACACCGACGCCGAGGGTATTACATAAGCTCCCCCAACTTCGTTGAGGTGAGCTAATAAAAAGTAGATCTGAGAGAACCATTTCAACAACATACATGTATAATGGAGTTATAGTCCACAATTCTCTTACATGTACAGTTTAAGTGGAAGAAGAAAGTCTAAGAAAGTGTATTTTAGGTAAAATACAGACATAAGGGAAATAACTGCTCAATCAGTAACTGCTCTAAATGTTTTTTGACAAGAGTTTATACATTTTTTTATACCAGACTAAGTATAAGCTGGATAAATGTGTTAAAGAGACTGACTTACCTCTAGCTCTTTCAATAGATCTTGAATAGATTTCTTTTGTTTTTGAATGGTAAGTCTTTGAGAATTGAATTCAGATACCAGTTTTGCTCTCTGTAATATGAAATGAAATGTATTAAATGATGACTTTCAATTTATTCTATTAGGTATTGGATTGTCCATTATTCTTCAAAACGTATTGAACTTCTATAAGAAATATTGATCTCATGTATTATTACATAAATACTTTTAATCAAATTTAAGAATCCTATGTCCACCATAGATAAGCTCACAGACAAAGCTATCTTAGTTTCGTTAAAACAATATCAGCCTGTTTTCAGTAATACTTTTATATTTTAGACTACTCTTCCTTACTTGACAATTTTTTTTTAATAACGGTATATGTCCTGCCGGTAAATGTGTTAATGTACTTCATTGTAAGGGAGTAATAAACAAACAAAAAAGTGTATGTTCATCAAAACAGAAACAACACTGACTTTTGAACTTATCATTGGATCCTAGCTCTATGGGTGTATTCCTTAAGCAAATCTTCGTCTATGTAAAGATATAGCAAGAAAGCTAAAAAATCTCTGAGTCACTGCAAGTCTCACTCATTGGCTTTCACCTTTAACAAAGTGTAACTGAAATAAACAGGTGTTTTGAAATTCACAATTTTTATCCCTTTCACCCATAGATGCTTTGTGCCAAATTTGGTTGAAATTAGTTCTGTGGTTGCAGAGAAGAAGCTGAAAATGTTCAAATGTTAACACACGACGAACGACAGTGACGAAAACATTGAAAAATAGGTCACCTTTTTACTCAGGTGAAAAAAAAAAGTAATCTTGTTTTTACTGGTCTCAGTGATTCTTAAAGAGCACCTACATTTGTAATGAAGCTCTAAATATACATCATGGAGACTGCTGAGTAATAAACAATACCTTCATTTTCTCCTCCAGACGGAATTGTTCTCTTTCATTCTTCAGGGTATCACACTCCGATTTGATATGCTCCATTTCTTTCTGTTTTCAATAAAAAAAAATATCATCTAATCTGTACACTACATGATAAGATTTCAAGGGAGAAGTGAGAAAGACTGCAGACATTAGTATTGTATCACAGTAAAATAAATGTAACATTTCCATCATTCAATAAGTTGCTTGATTTAGAAACATCTTTGATTATAACAGCCCCCCCTTCTGAAAATTGGGAGGGTACTGTAAACGTATTACATTTAGCAGTGTATTCTATTTAGTGAATTTAGCGGAAAGCATCGTCCACTAAATCAAGCACATAGCTAAACATCTTGTTTATGGTAGATTTATACATGTATCTAGCACATTCAGATAGCACTAAATCAAATCTACACTAACCTGTAGAAACATGATTTTCCACCAAATATCATACACACCAAATATAATTCATTTACAGTATATAGTGATCGGGATGTCTGTCTGTTATGCTTGGGGTACCCATCTCCTCAGACACTGAATGAAATTTAATGAGACTTTTACAGATTCTTTGTTACAAAGTCCATTGTGCACCTCCTATTTTACTTTTTTATTGGAAACATATTTACAGGTTTCCCATAACAAAACATTGACACTGACATTTTTTCTATAATATTGAAGGGTATGCATCTCTTAACTCCTCTTATACTCTTATACTACTAATTAAAATTTAATGATAATTTCATAGATTCTTTATTACATAATCTGATAATGCCATTGAGACCACTTATTTTACTATTAGATCTGACACTTATTTTAGGTCTTCCAGAGCAAAACATGGTCTTTGCCATTATAATCATATGATATCGGAGGCAGGGGGTATCATTTAGTGAGCTCAGGGCTCACAGTACCTCTAGTTTATCGCAGGATGGTTTCTACAAAAAATTTAAGTCTCTCTTTCTGAGCAGTAGTATATCATACAGTTAAACAATGGAATTTTAATACATAAGATGAAAAAAATATAAAAATTTTGCCTTGGATGTTTTATAATTCCTTTTCATCTGTCTTTACATGCATATAGTTGCTGTAAATGATGTAGCTTTCATGCTCTACCCAATTTACCTGTAAAATCTGGGGAATACTGGCACCCGACTGCATCTTCTTTATCACTTGTTCAAGTTCCGAGTTCTTTGTCTTGTAATTTTGAACGTTGACCTCCAGCTCTGATATGGTGTAGCGGAGTTCCTGAACCCCCTCCTTCTCTAGCTGAGCCTGGAGAGTCTGAATCTCGGATTTAAGTGAACCAAGTTCACCGTCTTTCCTCTCTATCTCCCCCTGTAGTTCATCTCTTACAGGATTCACAATGCTTTGGTCAGATGACTAAAATTCAAATTACCTGTGGTATATTAAGCTTTCAAGGCTACATGTACTTTTATATTATCCGTTCATGTTTGAATATACAATAAACTTATAAAAAAATCTAGAAAAGCTTAACAAAATAGATGTAATTATCAAATTAAGATATTTTTTACATACATGGATGAGGATTTTCCAAAATTTGATAAGTAAACATTAGATGAAAATTTCAGCTTAGCTGCTCATTATTTTTCAAGAAAAATACTTTGTCCACGATTTTACTAGACAAACCTTGTATACCTGGAAATTTCCTTTACAAAATGAAATGTCTTTTATAATGCTCTCCAAAAAAACAAACAAGCAATCATTTGTACCTTTCTATCAAAGGCCTCTCAACAAAGAAAAAACTCTAGATGATTTAGATCATACAGCAAACACTGGAGTGATACAGATCAAAACTAGTATGTCACTGCAGAATAGTATTTGTTCTCCAAAGCAGAGAGCAATCACAAAATTGTACAAATCCTGATAAATGATGCTAGCTGATTTCAAGCATTTACATCAATACTTCATTAACAGCACAATGGAATATCAGTAACTCACCTCTTTAAGTTTGTCCTCAGTTGCCTTCAGTTTACATTGGAGACCCTCCAGGTCCCTCTTTAGTGACACCACTTCCTCTTCCTTTGCTGTGATCTTCTGCTGTAACTCTGAGGTGACCTTTTCCATGCCCTCTTCCCCAGCTTTTAGTTCATGCTCCATGGACTGAAGCTGTTCTTCTAGGGAGTTGATCATGGAATCCTTCTCTGCCATCTTGGTTTGCATTTCTTCTAGGGCTGAACTACTTGCACTTTGATCCAAGTTCTAGATTTTGATGCATAGAATTTTAGAATGTTATGTAAAAGAAAATCATATATTTGAACTCCTTAGAAAGTTTCTTATCATAAAATAATTCAATAAAGTTACAAATTTTCTTAACCTTATGAAAATAATCTTGGGTTAAGTTCATGTCATACATAAAGATGGGGCTATAGTTTACCTGTTTGAGTTGCCACATCTCCTCACTCATACTCTGTATCTCTGACTTCTGACTCTCCACCTCTGACTCTAGGAACTGACACTGGTCCTGAACGTCTGCTGCCTCCCGCTCTTTATCCCTCACCGTGGATTCCAGCTGCATGTTCTTCAGCTTCAGATTGTGGATTTCTGTGTTAGCCGAGGCCAGCGACTGCTCCAGCTCCTCCATGGAATCCCGTAAACTGTTGGTCTCATCTGATAGCTCCATCACACGTTCCCACCGCGTCTGCAGGACTTCCTGCTGCTTGGCATACTCTGCCTTTCCCTTCTCTAATTTTGCTCTCAGTTTCTCCTTTTCAGATGAAAGCGTCTCCATTTCTTCTTTCAGATTCTGAACTTCGTCAGTATGGCTTGCCCTTAGGTCCTCAACAGATATTAATTTTGATTCCAGGGATATTTTTTCCTCTTCTAACTTTTTAAGTTCACTTTGGAATTCCTTTTGTGTTTCCTCTAATAAACATATTTGCTGAAATAAAAAGCAAAATATAGTTTATGTAATAATCTTTCCTTGTAAAATGTTATGCCTTCAAACAGAAAACATTAAACTTTCATACCTGTTCAAAATGTATTACTTTCTTCTCTTTCTGTTCAAGTTCAGACTGTAACTTTTCATTTTCCTCCTTCAATGTCTGGATTTCAGCCTCCAGCTTTTGACAGTACTTGTTTTCCTCTTCACTATTCTTGTGATCTGTTAAATCAGACTCTTTCCCATGTAAAGCCTCAATCTGTCTCTGATAGTTGACTATTTCCTCCTCTAATTCCTCCTGTCTTTTTGTCAGGCCTGTCACCTGTTCCTTCGTTTCCTCCAGACAGTGACTGAGCTCTAACACTTTTTCCTCTGCTTCCTCCCAGTTTTTGGTCACATCCTGCAGTCTTTCGTTTAGATCTTGATGCACTTCTTTCAGAGAGACCAGCTCCTGTCTCAGTGCTTCTGCCCTGTGGGATTCAACCTCCTCCTCTTCCCCCCTGGCCTGCTTCCATTCCTCATGTTTCCTTGTTTCTTCCTCCAGTGAAGAAAGTCTTTCCTTCAGGTGTTCATTCTCTGCTGACAAAAGTTGAAGCTGTTCCTTTGTACAGCCCTCTTCACTGTCCTTCCTCTGAGATTGTACATCATCTTGATCTTCTGTTTGTGAAGATTGTTCTGTATACATAGATGTCTCAGCAGTGAACTCTTCAGTCTGTGTTTCTTGACTTTCTTTGGAATCTAAGCTGCTATGACTTGTCTCTGTTATCAGCTTCCCCTCCAATTCCCAGACTTTTTCACGTGACACCCTGCTTTCCTCCTGGGCTTCTTTTAGATTGTCCTCCAGGCATTCCACTTCCTAAAAAACATCAATTATTTTGAAATTGCTGTATTTCATACAGCTTTCAAATTTGAGGTCTCCTTATTGAAATTTTGCATTGTACTTTTTGATTATTGTAACGTCAATTACAGTCATGCTACAACTTATGAAGTGCCAAAGACAATTTTGAATTGTGATAAATGTTATTCGTTATGTATCCAGTAGGTAAATATTTCAAAAACAGAGAAAATAAAAATCACAGTCGATAGCATGAATTCATTACAAGCCTGTTTTACTGGGCATTAATTTCTTTAAAAATTAAATGAATATTTCCGGTTTCCCTCTTAAGGAAAAAAATTAAATGATAAATCTCAAGAATCTATGAATATGATAAAAATCACAACTATTTATGCCTATTTTTGACAACTGTTATCACCTGTTGGTAATTCTTCATCTGATCCTGGAGACTGCTGACTTCTTCGCTGAGCTCCTCCACTCGTTCCTGTAGTGAGACGTTCTCCAATGAGAGTCTCTCACACATCTCTGTGTAGTCCATACTCTCTGAATGGGTTCTATTCATACAACTGGAACTTTCAGACCTGTGTCTTGTAGAGTGATTCAATTTTGCGTTTTCTTGAAGTCTCTCATTTTCTTCTTGTAAACTAATAATTTTGCTTTCATTCTCATTCATTTGAGTTTGTAGACTATTAATTTCCTCCTGTAGGTTTGAAATGTCTGAGTTCTGTCTTTGCAGATTTTCCTTTTCATCCTTTAGTTTACACATACACTCCTCCAGGCTTTCAACCTTCTCTGTCTTAAGCACAAGCTGTCTCTGAAAGTCACAAATGTCTTCTGCATATTTTTGGCAACTCAGACAAGGTCCATGAACATTTGCTTCTGATGAACTCTCACTCTGCATGATTTTTTCATGAAGTTCGACACAGAGAGCCTCTTTTTCAGTAACAGCTTCCTTAAACTCTTGACACAAAGCCTCTTTTTCATTCACAGACTGAGCCAACTCCTCGCACTGACAACGCAAGCGTTCCATTTCCTCCTGAATCATTTTATCTTGTTGGGATTCGAATTCCTCCTGCATTTTATGTTTTTCTTTGGCATGTTCTTTCTTCATCACCTCCACAATATTTTGGAATTGCTCCATCAGTTCTGTGGGATCTTTGAGATTTCCCTTTTCTTGTTCTAATACATCTATCCTATCCTGCAGCTCCACAATATTCTTTTCCAGTCTGGCTCTTTCCTCATCATCCATGACATTCTCTGACTTTATTTCCTGGGATTCCTCCTGCAGACTCACATTCACACTCTTATCCAGTCTCTCCACCTCCTCCGTCCTCCGTAAATCAGTGAATTCCACATCCATTCTGCTCCTCCTACACCTCACACAGCCCTCCTTCTCTATGTGTGTCTCCTTCTCTACAGATTCCATCATCTCTTTCCTGACCTTCTCCAGTTCCTCTGCATGTTTCAATGTTTCCTGGTGAAGATCTGTCTCAAGTTCTTGAATTCTCTCTGCCTTCAACCTTTCGCTATCACTGAAGTTCTCTTTGAGTCTATTTAATTCATTTTTACTATCTTTCAATTGACTTTCTAAATCATTCTGTTTTTCCTCCGCCATTGAAGAAAGTTTGTTCATTTCTTCCACTTGTGCTTTAACTTTCTCCTCAAGTTCAACTATTTTTCCGTTTGCCTCTTCCAGCATCCTCCTTTCACATTCCAATTTTTCCTCTGCAGTTTTAGCCTCTTCTGAAGACTCCAAGCTTCTCCTCAAGTCAACAAAAGTATTCTCTAGGTCCTTGTTCTTTGCCTTAAGATCCTCTTTTTCTGACACATGTTGTTTGACCTCCTCTTCCAAGGAAAGCACTCTCTGTTGAAGCTCCTGAATCATATTATCCAAATCACTGGATTCTGCTGTGGTTTTCGACTCTTCTAATTCCTGTCTCTTCTCCTCCAAAGCATTCTGAAGCTGCTTATTCTCTGCTTGAAACTCTTCAATAGTTTCTTCAAATACTTTAATAGTCTAGAGGAAAAAATATTTATCAACACTTAATTTGGTAAAAATCTTAACCAAACTGATAGAAAAGTTCATGAAATGAAAAAAGGGTTTCTTACCTTCTCTAGTTCATGTATTTTATGTTCCTTCCAATTTTCATCAGCTATTGAGGAGGCACCATTCATCTGCTCCAGTTGTTCTTCTAAATCAGTAATTTTTCCACTTGCCTCCTCAAGCTGTCTCTTTACACTCTCTACCTCCTCAGTTTCATCACCCTCTCTGCTATGTTGCTTAATTTCCTCCTCCAAGGATACAATTCTTTGTTGGAGTTCCTGAATGACACCAGTGTCATCTGTCTTGGATTCTGTCATAGTTTTTAACTCTTCTAGTGCCTGTGTCTTCTCCTCCACTGACTTTTGCAGCTGCTTGTTCTCAGATTGGAAATCTTCCACAGTTTCTTCAAATACTTTTATTGTCTACAAAATACATGTTCATGTGACCAACACTCCATTGCTAAATTTTATCAGAAATTTAATTATTAAGACTTATTGATTTTTTTTTTTTTTTTTTTCTTTTTTACCTTTTCCAGTTCCTGCACTTTATTGTTGAGCTTCTCTACTGTACTTTGATTTTCTTTCAACTCATCATTGGAAGTTTTAAATTTTTCAACCTCCAATAATTGTTCCTCATTTGCAGCCTTCAATTTTTCAACTTCTGACCTTAGATCTTCATTGGATGACTGCAACTTCTCCACCTCTGACCCCAACTGTTCATTGGCTGATCTTAACCTTTCAACCTCTGACCTCTCCTCTACACCCTCTTCTGTTGGTTGTCGTATCTTATCTAGCTCAGACTGACATTCCTTGACCTTCTTGTTTTGAATCTGAAGTCTGTGTTCCAAGTGAAAATTCTCATCTGACAATGCATTCATCTTCTCCTCCATGGACTTCATTTTCTGAGTTTTCTATGAGAAAATTAATATTTCAATAATCTAGGGATTTGTTTTTAAGTGTTTTAGACATAGAGAAAAATCTCTCTGAAATCTTTGTTTAAACTGGTATGTGTTCATTATTGTCTTTTTCAATAAACAGCTAGTATCACAGATTTAAAGTTTGACCTGTGTAATAACTGAATAATCACTCATGCATCTGTATCTTTTTTTTTTATGGAGTTTTTTTCAATTTCATCAAATTTATAAATTTTTCTTCCCTCTCCGCCAAACCAAGACAACCCAGACTGATGACTGTGGGCCTTACCTCTATGAATTTTTCCTCCAGCTCTGTCAACTCCTGTCTGACATTCTTCATGTCCTCATTGTTTCTTCTCTCGCTTTCTTCTAACTGTAAAAAGGAAAAACGTTTATCACTCAATTCTTAATGCCATTTCACCTACTACACATTAAAACAGATTTTCAGTTGTTTTTTTTTTTTTTTTTTTAGAATGTTACGTCTACATTTTGTAACATAATCTCTACACACATCAGTGATTTACATATGTACATGGACACATGTTAATCTCTAAATACAAGATTAGACAGACCACAGTGCAGTTTTTCAATTGCATAAAAGATGCCTTTATAAGCAGCCTTTAATACATTTTCAAGTGAAATAATGCAATTTATTCACTGAAAAAAACTGTTTTAATTTGTTACATTGTGAAGAATATCAGCGATACTTTGTTACAATGTGAAAGAGAATCTGAAAAAAAACTTTCAAATTTTCTTCCCTTCAAGAAGTGTTGTAAAAAAAAAAAACTCTCTGATCTGATACAAAAATCATGAAATTTTAACACAGTGGAATATTAAAATGACATACAGTTCTGTTTACACTAATCTTTATACACAGTATACAGCGAAATCATTTAGTACAAAGGGATATTGGGAATTTATGGTTATAGCAAAGTTATCTTAGATTCCCACCTACAGTATATAAATTTAACGAATTCTTTGTTATTTTATAGGTCCCAGTGACTTCATTATAACAGAGTTTTACTGTAAGAGTAAGATCTCTCCACTGAGTGGTTACCTGTATCACTCTGTCCATTCCCTCTTTGTTTGACTGTAGTTCTAGACGGTGATACTCTTCTATCTCCATTTTCTCTTTCTTCAATTCTTCAAAGTCATTAAGTAAGTCTTCATATTTGTCTTGCCTTCAACAAAAGTAATTCAACATCATTCATCAAACATTAATAAACTTTAATAGGTAATCAAAGATTAGTAGATTACTAGGATTCCAATGATTGTTATATAAAAAGAAGTGATGTAAAGTCATCCCAAATAAATGAGCCTAAAAATCTAATCTTCCCCTGCTTTGCTTTAAGGAGAATATAACTTTTTTTACAGTGTAGCTTATGTTAACATTTATTGCAGAGTGTATATTTCATGTTTTTACAGTTTTCAAAGTTTTGCAAAATTTATCACCATGCAAACAGTTTTAAATAATTCAACATATTATTAAACTAACAATTTTGTAAATTCTTTAACTTGTGCAAAAATAACCCCCACACAAATGTTTCGTTATATGTAAATTGCTAAAAAAAAAAAAACCTTCTGCAGAACAGATGGGCTAGAGTGACTCGGGTAAGGATTGTGGCCCACAACTGATCTTTTTTTTTTTATTTAAACTTCAATATCTGAAATCCTCTGTTCTTAAGAGTTTTATCATGGTCCTATCAAAATTGAGATATCCTGGTTTGATTGTACACGTTTAACTTACATGTCTAGGAGCTCCCTAGCCAAGGGATCCACAATGAAGGCCTCATCGTCCTCTTCCTTAATTTCCTCAGACTGGAATGTCACATGCTTCTTTTCTGCTGGCTCCTGGAGTCTCTCATTTGACTTGCGTTTTCTGATGTGAGGAGGGGATATGTCTTCAATGCCAGTTTCGTCCGCCTCTGAATTATTTTCATATTATGGTTACAGAATTTACAATATACACCAAGTAGTATATATTACATTTATTTTAAGCCACTTTTCTTGGGAGAAAATCATGAGTTCTACTTTTGGTATAGATATATTAAAAAAAAATACTGACTCTTGATGAATGTTTTACCAAGGTCAGAATTATAAGTCTAAATATCAGTGGTAAGTATTTTCAAATCACTTTTATGATTTTTTTTACCATTAAAAAAGTTCATTCGGTTGATGAAGCTGAATCGTCTGGGAGAACTGACAGAGGCTCCCTTTCCTGGACACCATGTTTTACGTCGTTTGGACTAATATAGAAATAAAAGCAATATTGAAATTAGACATGCAACTACATGTACATCATGTATTTGAAATTACTGAGTACACATCGATTCCATAAAAATTTGTATCCAAGACCACATTTACAGTACATTCAAATGACAGCATGATCAATTACAAAGTATCTATATTAAGTATAATAGAATACTGTGTATTTATGGATATATGTAAATAACACAAACCCTTTTCTCCCAAAATTCAAATATTTTTGCTAAAATGTGTGCCTCTCCCACTTTATAAGTATTATTTGTTTAGTTTAACACCATAATTTTTGGCCAAGACATATAATTTGGTGAAAAGTGTGAAAATGCAACTTTACAGCTCAATACATTTTATAGAAATATATGAAGTTTTCTTACTGCAAAGTTTCTGGGGGCATTTTCAAGTGTGTATTTTAACATATTACACAATTAAAATTTCTAAATTACATTTCCTTTGAAAGAAATATTGAAACAAGAGGCCCAGGGGCCACATCGCTCACCTGAGCAATTGGCTAGGAAAAAGCACACATCAGATCAGAACTGAAAGTTTACTGGGGGGGGGGGGGGGGGGGCTTGTATTTTAAACCCCCAAGGGGTCATGATTTGAACAAAGCTTGAATCCACACTACTTAAGGATGATATCCCTATAAATATCACTAAGCATGGCTTTAAAGTACTAGAAAAGAAGATTTTAAAAGTTTTCCCTAGAAATTCCTATGTAAAACTTTTATCGGCGATTTGGCCCAACCCCACCGCCAGGGGTCATGATTTGAACAAATTTGAATCTACACTACCTGAGGATGATTCCACATGAGTTTCATCTTTTCTGGCCCAGTGGTTCTTGAGAAGAAGATTTTTAAAGATTTTTCCTATATATTCCTATGTAAAACTTTGATCAGCCATTTTGGCCCCACCCTACCCCCAGGGGTCATGATTTGAACAAACTTGAATCTACATTACATGAGGATGATTTCAAATGAGTTTCATCTTTCCTGGCCCAGTGGTTCTTGAGAAGAAGATTTTTAAAGATTTTTCCTATATATTCCTATGTAAAATTTTTGATCGGCCATGTTTGGCCCCACCCACTTTATGGGTATTCATGTTTAGTTTAAACCAAATTGAATCTAAACTACCTGAGGATGATTTAAAATGAGTTTCATCTTTCCTGGCCCAGTGGTTCTTGAGAAGAAGATTTTTAAAGATTTTTCCTATATATTCCTATGTAAAACTTTGATTGGCCATTTTGGCCCCAATTAAAACCCCTGGGGGTCATGATTTGAACAAACTTGAATCTACACTACCTGAGGATGATTCCACATGAGTTTCATCTTTTCTGGCCCAGTGGTTCTTGAGAAGAAGATTTTTTTAAAATGCCATTATTTTTTCTCTAATTCATTATTATCTCCCCTTGGAAAAAGGCGTGGCCCTTCATTTGAACAAACTTGAATCCCCTTTACCCAAAGATACTTTGTAGCAAGTTTGGTTGAAATTGGCCCAGTGGTTCTCGAGAAGAAGATGAAAATGTGAAAAGTTTACGACAACGACGCCAACGACAACGACGACAAAGCCAACGACGACAACGACAGACAACGGACAAATTTTGATCAGAAAAGCTCACTTGAGCCTTTGGCTCAGGTGAGCTAAAAATACTATTGAAACTCTTGAGTTTTGTGTAGGAGATAAGAAAATTTGTTTGTGGTATGTATCCTTAAACATGAAATTTTTGGTAGAACACTGCCACACTGGATTATCTACTGCATATACCTGTGGGATAACCTCTTTTTGCTGTGTGGTTCCTGACTGGATGACATACTTCAGAGAGTTCAAAAGGTCATGGTATTTCTGTTCCATTTCTTCTTTTTCTTTCAGTTTCTTCTCTAAATCTTCTTTTTCTCCTTGTAATTCAGAGACATCTATGTTTTCCATCTACAGCATATAGATACAAGCACTATAAAATTGAATGAATACAGTAAAAACGTTTATAACAAAGTGCCAGGGACAGATGACTTTGCTTCGTTATACCGGGGTAAGTGTAATTCGTTATATCCATTAAGTTTACAATATATTTAAAAGCCCTGGGGAATAAGAATCACTTCCCTGTTAGCATCAATTCATGTTAGCTATAATGGTGTTTTACTGTAATGATAATAATAACTGCTACATATTAATTGATGCCTGACTTTAAATATAAACATTGTAAAAAAGTTTGTAGCTAGTCTTTTGAGTGAATGCATCTTCAATGTAGAAAAATATAACAGGTACTTGTGTGAATACATACATACACCTTCCACCTATATAGATTCAATTTTAATATGACTGAGATCGATCTTCTATTTTAAAATTATATATTCCAACACAGGCCTTTCAAAATCTGCCGGTAAGATTTTTAAAGATTTGTTCTATATGGTACCGGCCAAAATTTGGAAAAAAATCGCGTAAAAATACGATAGACCCTACCATATATTTACACAAGTTGTGGTTACGTAGCTTTGTATTATTGTTAGTCCGTAATGGTATCTTATAACGTTTTTGATTGGTTAGTCAAGAAGATCATTAAAGCGTTTGAATAAATGAAACAAAAGAGATTGCGTAACGCGTCTTGTAGATTTTGTCGAAAACGAAAGTAGATTTCGATCTGTCAAATTACTCTGTCACTGATTTTGAAAAAAGCTAATGACTATGGATATATTTTAAATAAATACGGCCAAAAAAATTAAAAATAGGAATCCAGGTGTCAGAAATGAAAGTGTCAATTTAAAGCCATGGTAATGCGTTTCACAAAAGATTTTAAGATACAAGGAACTAGACCGCGGAACACAATTGACAGATAGAGAAACCGACATGAACAATAGGTAGTTCTTTGACCACCTCTGTACATTTTAATAGCCTCAACTCTTCAAATTTAAGTGTCAAAACCCGCAGCTGACGATATAAATTACTTAATGTCCTAAATATTGCAAGTTTTGTGTAACAAAAGGACATAAAACAGAATTTATTTCTTTATCCTTAAACATTTAAATTTTTGGTATTGTAACCATATCCAGTAAAGTGGATTATCTATTTTTTTTATCTCCAGTTTGATGTCATCTTTGTGTAATTTACACGTATGTATATTATTTTATAGAGAGTACCAGTGCATGAAAAATATTCTGTTTATTGGTACATGCTATTCTTTCAGTTTCTTCTCTCTAATTTTTTTTTCTCCTTGTAGTTCAGAGAATGAATTTCATTTAATGCAAATACAATTTCATTTCTCTTTTATTAAATTTAAATTTTGAATTTCCATTTCCTTTCGTATATATTTATATTTAAAACATACCACTTACAACTCAAACCTTGCAAAATTTTTTGAACAAATTTATATAAACAAATATATATATATATAGTTTTACCTAAATATATTTCTACTCTGCTCAAATAACTAATTTTTCGCTGTAATTCCATCAATCCATGCTAAACTTCACATGTAATGTGTATTTTACTGTAATGACAAAAAAAAAACTTTGAAACATGGCATAAAATATAACACTGTATAAAAGTTGTGTCCAGAAACCAGGAAATCCTTTGAGTGAATGCATCTTTAATTAGAAAAATTTAACAGGTACTTGTGTGAATACATACAGGCTACACCTTCCATCTATATAGATTTATTTTTGATAAAGTACCACCTGGCTCAAATCTTTTTGAAAGCCCTGCTCCAACATAACAGCATAGCTTTTCCAAACACTGATATGAAAATAATTAAAATGCTTATCACAATATACCGCTTTAATTTTCTCCTGCAGTTTCTGGATTTCTTTATGACTTCTCTTCAGTAGGGCAGCATCAGAGAGAACTTCATTGACCATAGGTTTGTTGGAAATGGATTTGGCTCTGGTTGCAAACTAAAAGGCAATATGTAATAAATTTTATGTGCAGAGTATAAGTTTTTTTTTTCATGTTAAATTCAATAGTACACATAGCACACATTAATTTCACATGTAGGATTTTTTTTTCAAATCTGAAAATAGTGGTCCCTTTAAGATTTTAAATACTTTCAAATTCAGAACCTGGGATCGTATTTTTTTCTGAAATCTGAACTATTATGTAGCATAGAATGTTTTACCTTAAGCGTACTGTGAGATTCCTCCAAAGAAGCTGGGGTGATGGTGGCAATAACGGCCGTCTTAGAGTTACCTCCCAGTGCATTCTGTAGGATACGGGTCAACTTCGAGTCACGATACCCAATATGCTGATTACTGAAAAAGCCAATCGGAATTGAGATAAATCTGTCAAAGGACTTCAGTCATTTAAAAGAATGTTTACAAAAATGAAAACAAATGTGATCTGCAGATTTTCATTTCCAATCTCTTATTGTAAATTTATCAAATCCTTCAGTAAAAATATAACTGTCTTTGCTTTTGAAAATGTTCTGTTTGAATCTGAATATAAAATTGAAACATAAAATTGGCCTCCCAACCTGACTCCCTCGCTAAGTTTGGCAATAATACGAGCCAGGGTAAAGAGAGATTTGTTGATAGAACAGCCCTCACGGAATCTGTCTCCTGTGTTCTCTCCCGCCTTCTCAGAACCCGCCAGATCCACAAAATTCTGTACAAATATAACACGGATGTGAGCTGGATTTCCTTGTTAGAATTTTAATTTAACAATATTAAGAAAATATGCAAATAACTGAATACTGTCATATATTTCATGAGAAAATCAACATAATATTACATACCAGGTGTGCCACCATTACAGCTGATTCATCATCTATCTGTCTGCTCTCTATTATCTACAAAGTTTAAGAAAATAATTAAAAACATAAAAAAATAAAGATTACAAGAGGTATGGGGTATAACACATGAATTCAAGTTGAATGTGTTGAAATTGTCTACAAAACTAAAGAATTACTTAACCTGTATCTAAATAAAAGTTTTATAGAGACTAGAGCATTAATCATACATATATCTATGCAGTTGACAATGAAAGAGAAGATCTTTGAAGATGTTATATGTAGTATACAGAGAGAGCATTAAACATACTAAATGCAGTATACAGAGAGCATTATACATACTAAACGCAGTATACAGAGAGCATTACACATACTATACGTAGTATACAGTGAGAGCGAGAGCTTCTGTCATTCTGTTTGGTCTCTGCCATATGTCTTCTTGCTGGAAGAACAAAACATGGACTTAGCATCACATAACTATATTTTGCATGAGACAACTTTTTTGTGAGTTTAAATACAAACCTTCTCCCTCCTTCAGGACAGCGTTCAGGTCACCTTCATTCATCACATATCGTTCTTCTACACCAATGACATTAACATTTCTTTCCTGAAAAGCAGAAATTTATATTTCAGTAAGAAAACAATGAAGACTGTTTTTTTTTTTTTTTTAAGTACAAAAAGCCTTCAGATATGTGGGGGAAAAAATTAATTTCTTTAAAATTAAAAAGAAACAGACTAACACCTTTTCTATAGACATTTTGCCCAATAATTGTTTTTTATCACTGCTGAGACAGCAGTATCTCTAAAATCAAAATCATGACAAGAAAATCAAAAGTTGACAAAGAAATTTTCTATTGTGATGAGAGGGGATTCTTATCCAACAAATTTGTCAAAATGTATGAAAGACGTGTATATGTAATAGCCTACTAATAGCAGCAGTGTGGTTTTAAAATTCTTTTATAACGTACATGTTTAAATAATATTTTAAATAAATCCGCTTTGTTGCATTCAATCTCTTATTAAAAAGAAATCAAAATCAATTTTCAGCTTCTGAGAAACATTAAAGCTAAATATCCATTAGAACGTATGTTGAGTAGATAAAAATGCCAAAACTGAGACTGATAAATGCCAACAGATATATATAATATTTGATTTGTAAAAGTTTGTTTACGGTATCTTCTTGGATCTTGATGATTTTGTCCTCAGTGGATAGTAAGTCTGACACCTTCTCGTTGTAAATCTCCATGTAACAACAGCGTACCAGGTACTCTCTGTCCGGAATCTTCAAAGAAATAAAGGGTTTATTAGGTAAGCCTTTGTCAGAGTGGTTGCAACTTCATTGTTCATGAAATGTAAATTATTATTTTTGTGTTGCAGAATGCCATGAAGTACCCACCTACCTATCAATTCTATTTTATCCCAAGTCAAGAGCGAGCGAGAAAGAGAGATAGCAAGCAAATATTCTTAAAAATAGCCTTATGTATATCTATAAAGACAAAAATGACTGCAAACCTTGTCTATTCTTGCAAATATTTCGTTAACAGCCAGTTTAATGATTCCTGGATTCATAGCACTTCCCGACATTGTAAAGGTCTTGCCTGAGGAACTCTGTCCATATGCAAAAATTGTTCCTAGAAAAAAAACGAAAATCTTAGCAGGATATTAATTGTAAATAAAGCTAGTTCCACAGGAGTAGAAAACTAGCAACTGTTAATTTCCATGGAGAAAGAAAAATTATTTTAAAACTTTTCAAACAATGACCTTAATTCAAATGGCACATTAGCAACAAGGAAAAAACAATTCAAAGTACCCATGTTTACAATGGACAGTTGGTTTTATGACTATATTAGTTGATGCAGTGGGGTGTATGTAAATCTTAATCTTCAATTATGTGACTTTAATAGAAAAATATTTTTTTTAATCTGAAACCAAGCTATGATTAAAATAATAAATTACTTCTGTTAAAGAAATAACTATTTTTTGTTACCATGAAAGCCTTGAACAGCTGCATCAATTATTGGTTTAGCAACTCCCTGGAACACATCATAGGTTGTCATGTGTTCATCAAATATTTTATCTGAAAATGGAACATTCAATGGTTGAATATAGACTTTTAAAAAAAAAACATGAATTGTGTGTTTGAAGAGAGATTCCAGTTCCTTACCAAAGGTGTAAGGAACCCCGGGTTTGCCACTCTGGTCCAGAGGTTCCAGTGTGTTGTCCTTGACATTCCACACCTTATTCTGTCCAGTATTTGCTTCCCTAAGAGTATCAGTTAAAGAATTAGTGATGTATATCTCAACCATTTTAATTTATGATGATGTATATCTCAACCATGATGTATATCTCAACCACTTTAATTATCTTAATTTATTAAAACTTACAAATAAGCATTTTTTTTTATTATATAAAAATATGAAAAAACTATAAACCCTTTTAGACTTACTAAACATGCTAAATGTAATACATGTAATACATACATCATGTACATTGTTCCCTAATTGTTTACTTTTTGTGTAATTTGGTGTTCAGCAGTCTTATAAAGAGATTGATAAATCTCAGCTAACATGCTGTTCATATATAAATTTTTAACAATCAACACCATGTTTAATTCTTCCTTACTTTGCAATCAAAGGACGCACACGGATAGCCACCTGAATATTGTCCATCCCCCCTGTAAAATAAACCATTGTAATCATTACTGGTATTTGTTGTATGGGAAAACTATATTAACAAAATTAAAAATGAGGGATAAATTATCACCTACCAAAAGTCTGTCAGACCAGTAGAATTCTGAAGAAAACAAATTGAAAAGCATAAATATGATTTAGAAAATGTTTCTCAAGAGTACATTTATATTACAATACTTATTATGAAAGATTTTAAATTAATCGTGATGGGCAGAAGGAATTGTAGATGCAGATCTGTAGCGTTATGGTTTTATATATTTGTCTTTGACAATAACGCTACAGATCACATAATGCAAAAAAGGTGCAATTTACGGCGCAATAATTTTTGCGCACTTATCCAGAGAATTTCTCCACTTTCCAGCATAGGTCAATTAACTACCTTTCACTCCCTAATTCTAGGCACACTGTTCAACAAATCTGTATATTTTATCCATCACCCAACCCTTTATAATTGTCTCTACAAGAGATAAATCCGCTTGATTAAAATTGTCTGTTAGATTGCTATATTTACATTTGCAAATGTTTTCCTTTATATAACACTACTGAAAGCAATGTGTATCTATAACTGTATAAATGCCGGTACGGGGACAGGAGGTCATAGATGAGCATATGGATAATCGTTCAACGTAATTTCTCAGTGACATCATAAAAGGTCGACACACGTTCAGTGGATAACATACATGCCGTTGGGTTTGACACACGTTCAGTGGATAACATACATGCCGTTGGGTTTGAAAAATAATGCATTTCACTCGTTAATAGTCACAATCAGGCAAATTTAAAGTATGAATAAGTCATCAATGTAAATATAAGTTATAAGGTATCATTTTAAAACATCTATCGGGCTATAAATACGGGTTGGTATGAGATTAAATTCATCATAAAGCCATTTAATTTAATTTGGAGTTTAATCTCGTGACCAACCCATATTTATATCCTGAAAGATGTTTTAAAATTATACCTTATTTCTTAATAAGTAAATTCACTTCAAGCAAGTTTATTGCCTGTAGAGACAACTATAAATGGTTAGGAGGTAGATAAAATATACATAGTGGCTACAGAATGTGTCTAGAATTAGAGAGTGAAAGGTAGTTGATTGATCAGGGCTGGAAAGTGGAGATATTCTCCCCAAAGTTGTGCAAAAAAATATTGCATCATAAATTGCACCTTTTTTGCATTACAGGATCTGTAGCGTTATGGTCAAAGACAAATATATAAAACTATAACACTACAGATCTGCAGCTAAAGGCAATGGAAATATCATCATAATAGAAGATAACAACTAAGCATATTTTACGTTTCAGAATAGGTCCAGGAAAATAACTATATTTAGCTATATAGCTTAATTTACCTATCTAGCTTTATTTACCTGTATAATATAGCTTTATTTAGCTATTTTAGAATAAGTTTCTGTTTTATGATAAGCAGACAAAAAGTCGCATGAAAATTATGGATGATATTTCCTTAAAATGTTCGATAAAAACAACCTAGGGCATAGATAGTAAAAACATTGCCTCTTTAAACACTTTTTAACCAAAAATGCATCTCTATTGTTTGGATAGCTGTCCCTCACTGGAAGTGCGATGAGGCATGACTAAGTGTGATTGCTTTGCATTGTGCTGAATTATACAATTACCAATCAATTATCTTCTTGACCAGAACTGCTTTTCTTTGTTAAAGTAGCTGCTGAATCACAGATTAAGTGTTAAACATAGCCCCAAAACTTTTAGATCTTTGATTGCAATTGCACAAAAGAAGAAACATTTTTAAAAGTTGGTTTTTGGTGAATTAATTGTTTTCAGTCCATTTCAAAGTTGAAAACTAATACTGCCTCATTATGAGACTTTTTGTCTGCTTTTCATAAAGCAGAAATTTACTCTGAAATAGCTAAATAAAGCTATACTATATAGGTAAATAAAGCTATATAGGTAGATTCAGCTATATAGCTAAATATACCCAGGTCTGGTACAATCACTAGATTTAGCTACGTAGCTTGATTTACCTACATAGCTTTATTTACCTACCTGAGGTAGCTTTATTTAGCTACCAACTCAATTTATTTATATAAAAAAGCATTTTTCTCAGGGTGTGCGGAAAATATCCTTTTGATGCAGTGATCATTTTCAACTTTGAACTCATCTGAAAACAACTCAGGAAAAAATCATTCTTGAAGAAATGTCTTTTTCTGCGCAATTGCAATCAAAGTTCTGAAAGTTTTGGGGCTATGTATGACAGTTAGAACAGTTACTCCTGGAATGAAATGACAAAGAAGTCCAGTTCCGGTTAACACGATAATAGGTCAGTAATCATTCAGCACAATGTGAAGTAATCATACTCAGTCATGCCTCACCGCACGCATGAGAGAGAAGACAGTAATCAAACAATGGAATTACATGTTTTGCTCTAAATTGTCCAAACGCAGCAATGTTTAAACTATCTCTGCTTTGGATTGTTTTTATAAGCCTCCCTAGTATGAATATCAATAGTCTCTTGATTGTGATTTTTTGTCTCTTTTAAATAAAAAATAAAATTTTGAAAAGTTACATTGAAATAGCTAAATAAAGCTACCTGAGGTAGGTAGATAAAGCTACGTAGGGAATTCTACCTACGTAGCTAAATCTAGTGATTGTACTGGACCTGATACCGGTGATTTTCCAAGACCTGCAGAAATCTGTCAAAGTTTTTCAAATCTTCAGGGTATTTTACTATGTTTAACAGAGAGCATTATTTACTATTTGAACACATTGTATGTTATGTTAGTCCTCTTATCATCTGGCTAATATAGTATTAGTCTGTTAGATTATAAACAACAGAACAAAATAGAATGACGTATCGATGGAAAGTCGTGGTTAGAAGCATAGAAATGCAAATTGTAAACTGATGATTTGTCTAATTTGCTGCTTCTGAGATTATTGATGATGTTTCTTTCTCATTTGTACATTTTCTTTTCTATAATTCCCATTGCATATCTAAAAATTTGGAACAAACACATACCTAAGATTTACTTTCTTTCAAATCTTCCTCCATTTAACCAGATAAGCCAATCAAAACTTTCGTTTTAATGAACTTCGGTATCGCTAAAACTCATGTCCGGATAAAAATGGAAATAACCATATAAATAAGCGATTCGTATTTTACAGTTTAAAAAACTATTTATAATAGTTGAAATCATAAACATCATTTTACAGTTATTGATAGTTAACCTTTTATTTACGAAAATTTTCAATGTATCCAATCATACGTCATTGATTGATTAATTGATTGAATTTATTCATTTTATTTTATTTATTTATTGAAATGACATGTATCAAATTGTTTTAACATAATTGCAATTCTTTTTAAAACTTGGTATATTTGAGCGTAAACTTGCTAAGTTTGGCATCCTCAGCAGGAAAGGAGATGATGTCCAACAATCAAAAATGAGGGACAACTCACTTAATGACATCAAGGATGTGAGTCGGTATTTTTCTCTTGCTAATGCACTATCAATGATTATAGAAAGCCAGTTTGTGATATTTATTGAGAAGACAGCAAATTAAATAGTCATTTTGTCTTTTTGAACATACCGGTATTTTATTGAGTAAATCAAAAGGATTGGAACCAAGTTCTATACAACTCACTTAGTTCCTCTCTCCTTATATATCACAATATGTCATGCAAATTAAAGAAAAATAGTACAATTGATGCAAGTGTTTCTCTATTTGACCAAATTATTTGTAAACGATTTTGCAGTTTGCTTTCAGAGACTATCACTACATTGCATTGAAATATATGGAGATAGCGAAGAGTGTTCGAACTCAAAAGACCATTAAACATTACAAAAAGGAAAGAAACAAAGACGGACCTCCCAAACATCAGAGGTGGGATCAATGCCATGGAAGAGTAAGCATCCCCTGCCGACCGGTCACATCCGCAGTGTGCCTTTTATATTTGGCAAGGAAAAAAAAACGGGAAAATCCAAGGACAACTCAGTGTGTTGATAATGGCCTAAAAAAATCGACCAGCATTTGACTAAATGAAAAATTGTACTTGCTGACAAGGTGATTGTATCGACCATAGAACTTACGAAATGATAACGTTAAACGAGACTGCTGATATTCTTGCTTCACCAACTTGTTTGTTAATAACTTACCTCGTTTTAGAAATTGTTCTTACGTCTCTAACATGCTCTTCCGTATCGAATCAACTGACATCTATTCATTCACAGGTACGCAACATCAGGGGGAGGGGGCTGCCCCTTTTTCCCAGACATAGCTTTTTACTATAGAGAGTTCGTTGAAAGTCCGTTTGTCCCGGTCCTCACCTTCGACTTTTTGATGCAGTATTCAAAAAAAGATAATGTAGTATTGTATGAATAAAGAAGACGGTTGAACAAGGTGTGCAGAATGCCTATAGCTTCATGCTTAATATTAAGAAATCCTATTCAGCTTGTGAATTTGGGTATTTAAATTAAGTTAACATTATTGAAATTTGTGAAATTATGGGAAACAAACATTTTCTTGGAGAGAAAAAATCTCGGAAAAAAATATTACTTTAGTAAAATAAAAAATTGAATTCGTGGGACTCAAACGTATCCAAGTGCTTCAAGACTAACGCTCTAACCACTACGCTATATGGCTCATGATGAAGTGGGGCATTTAAGTCATGTTTGTGATATGACCCTTGACTTATAATGGACTTATAAAACATTTCTCGGAAAAATGCAAATGTTTTAAAGTCATAAAAATGTAATTTTAAGGTATAGCGGGTCTTTGCTCCATTATGTAAACCAAAAAAATGTAAATTTTATCGCAAACTTTTGAGATTTGAGCGAAGACCCACTCTTATTGAGAATTGTTGTTAAAGTATGAGAAAATGATCATTTTGATATTTTTAGCGTGCGTGTGCTTTTTCATACACTGCAGGCAAATAATTTCACTCTTTGGGAGGTTTTTGTAATTTGTATAGATTTTATATTAAGTATAGATGAAATATCAAAGAAAATTGGGATATAATTGAGATTTAGCTTTTCACTTCATGTTTGTCCGTTATAGGCAAACTTTTTTCACTACCAATTCCTTTCGATAAAGATACTACAAACTATATTTTCCCCATTGGAATTATAGTCTAAAGTGGGGGTGCCAACCAGCCTTTCGGGGGTAATAACATTTTCTGTCTGTAAAATTTGTTTGTCTGTCTGTTTCTCTGCAAAATCTTTAACCTTTTGAGTGGGTGGGACTATGGCTTTCACATTTCACTGCTGCATTCCTTGTGTTGGGAGGTCTTTTGTAATTTGTAGATTTTATATTTTTAAAAAAAGTACCACACTCTAACTTTGGCCATAACTTTTGAACAGTTGGAGCTATGGCTTTCATTATTCACATGCGTATTCTTTGTGACAAGACCTTTCAGCGGGGTCTAAATATTTTGTACCTTGACCTTAGAGGTTGACCCAATTTTTAATTAAACCTTGGCCATAATTTTTGAACAGTTAGAACTATAGGGCTTTCATATTTCATAGGTGTATTCCTTGTAACTTTGAAAAAAAATTAAAGCTTGATCAATGTTCTCACAAATAATCGGTTGATTAATTGACCTTTGGATAACTTTTTTTGTGAAATTTCACTTCAGGACATAAGATAATGAATTTTAAAACTTAGATTTTGGTAAAAGTTATAAAGGGGAATCGAATGTGTGCTATTATGTATATAATATTATTAATAAACATAGTACTAGGAATATTAAAAAGTTTGTATGCGACAAAGTGCATGAGGTAATTATCGTGCTGATAAAGGGGCGATAGAGATTTTCAAAAATGAAAAGTTCTTTCTCTCTCTGCATTTTACTAATTATTTTAGATTCATCTGTTTTAAATTATAATTTATGAAAGTTTTGTCGTCATTAACCATTTGTTACAGCTATAGATTCATAACTTTGGATTCCATTTGAAAATAAATTAAAGACAAGAAGGACGGGGGCTAAGCCCCCCATTTGTTATTTTGGAAAGATATACATCATATAAGCATTGAAAATGCGGCTTACCCTTTTTGGGGTTAATTACACCCATCCCCCGTTTTATTTGTTAAAGAAATACAGATAATGTATTGGAATGATAAAGATTTGGACTTATATGCCTCCCAATGCGCTTCAAGGTTCTTTGCAAAGCTCGGTAAATCAAATCAATTTCATGTGTTTTGAAAGATAAATTACAAATAAAATAATTCCATTTCTAAGATCTGAATCCAGATTTTTTTTGTTTTTACACATTTTTTCAAAGTGCGTTAAGTGTCTCCATGATAAAATATATTGATGTGAACTCTAAAAAAAAAATTTGAAAAATTAGGATGGTTAAATGTTTTTGAGTTAGTTACGTTTCATAAATGTATCTTATTGTATAAAACTTTTTATGGTATGAGCCCAAAATATATCCAGGATCTTTTTTATTTAATATAGCCAAGTCTTGTGCCCTGTATTAGTTTAAACAGAGTAAGCAATAGACACTTTTGCCCATTCAAAGATACATCATCTAATAAAATAATGACAAGGGGTAGGACCCGATGTCCTATTATATTTAGAGAATTCTTCATTTCTTCTCTGCAGTTAGTTGCAAAACAATTAGATGTGCAACGAAGAAAAAAAATCGAATCATATTCAAATACACTTTATTATATGCTACACAAAACTAAGTACACGTGGACACAAACTAACAAACAAGCCAACAAACAATATTGAAATAACTTTAATTAAATCTTAAAGCACAATATTCCAGAATGTATCTCAAGACTTGTTTTGACAGAACTCTACAGTTGATTAAAATGCCAGGTTTTGACAAGTTAAGGTAAAATTTATTTGCTCGTGCATTTACATAATAAATATATAATTTACAAAGAATAAACGTTCTTCATAACATACAATAGTATATATTATCGAAATAGGAGATTGAGCTCCACACAATATTTAAAAAAAAACACCGTACTGTCATTTTTACATTTTCTCAGCTTTAACTGTTATGGATGTGGTAAAAAAATGCATTAAAATGTACAAATAAATATATCAGTTCTTCAAATACAATGGTTTATCCAAATTGAGCCACATTTTCCTATGAAATCTTTAAACTCTTAAGACTTTTACAAAATTATATATACAGCAACAAAAATTTTGTAACTGGAAAACTCGATTTTAATTGTCTTCATAGTATTAAATACGAAAATTAACTTTTTGAGTAAGTTGTCTTTAAACTTTTCCCTTATATCTAGCTTACAATATTTTCCACGTGTAGAGAATAAAAAAAAATAGCATCATTGTCCACGTTTGTAACCAGAAAAAGAAATAAATATCGATGTAAAATTGATGCGAATACATGTCTTAAACTGTATTGAAATAATAAAGGGATCATATATAGACAAGTTACTACAACTTTGTTTTGTAAACAGATAGTTGGGGCAATATTAGAAAGGAATTCTAATACTGAAATGAAAAAAATGACAGAAGAAAAAAAAAAGAACAAAACAAATGGCCCATGGGCCACATCACTCACCCGAGTAACTTTTGTGATGCCGTAGTTTACCAGCCCCCCTTGTTAAACCTATTGTGCCCCCACCCTAACCAACTTCCCAACCCCACCCTGGGTTATGGTTTTAATAATTTAGAATCTACACTATACCCAATGATGATTTCACATAAGTTTCAGCTTTTCTGGCCCATTGGTTCCTGAGAAGAAGATTTCTAAAGATTTGTCCTATTTATTTCTATGTAAAAATTGGATTCCCTATTGTGGCCCGCCCTACCCCCCGGGAATCTTGATTTTAACAATTTACACTACCCCAGGATGCTTCCACAAGGTTTCAGCTTTCCTGGCCCAGTGGTTCTTGAGAAGAAGATTTTTTGATGACCCAACCCTATTTTTGTCTTTTCTTGATTATCTCCTCTTGTAAAGGGACTTGGTACTTTATTGAAACTCCCTATTACCCAAGGATGCTTTGTACCAAGTTTTGTTCAAATTGGCACAGTGGTTCTTGAGAAGAAGTTAAAAATGTGAAAAGTTTACAGACGGACACACAGTGGTTCTTGAGAAGAAGTTAAAAATGTGAAAAGTTTACAGACGGACACACGGTGGTTCTTGAGAAGAAGTTAAAAATGTTGAAAGTTTACAGACAGACGGACGGGCGGACGACGGTGATCAAAAAAGCTGACATAAGCTATTAACTCAGGTGAGCTGAAAGACTACAATTACAAGATGTGTGTGTGAAACACTATGCCCCCGATATGGTAACACATACAATTCTGGAGTGGGACGTAGACTGAAGAAGTTTACACTTACCCTTGACAGCGCGATAGTTACAGTATGGGTTATGTTAAAGTTGACAACAGACAAACAGAAGGACAAACAGACAGTCGGGACAAAAACAACATACCCCTGGTTCTTTCGATGCAGATAAAACAGACAAAATAAATAAGAGAAATTAAACAACAGGTGCATGAGGTCACAAGTAATACGCATGTAGTTACAATAGAGCTACGTGGAAGGTGGAGAAACAAAAAACAATGATAACCCCCCCCCACCCCCCCCCCCCCCCACACACACACACACAACGGTCATGAGGAAACAAGTGATGTCATCTGTAGCTAGAGACAAAATAAAAAGGAAGAAAGAAAGCACGACAGTCAGATATTGACTGAGAACACAGAGGAAGGTAAAACAGGTGGGGTCATCTACAGAGACAAATGCGAGGGACGTTGATTCCGACAGACACACAGGCAGAAACATGGGATGACACAACACCTTATAGCAACCTAATGTGGAGAACAAAGACTTAGAAGAGGATCCATTGGTCAGCCTTGAAGGCCAGATGAAGAAAATTTATTGCCGAGTAGCAATGGAAGAAGAAGAGAAATCTCAAGAAGAAGTTGAACTGGTAAGATGGACAAGAAAACAAAAGTCAGATGATGACAAACGTAGAAAGGGGGTGCTTACAACAGATTCAACAAAGAGATACAGATGTACATCTATATGATGCAAGACAACAAAAGACTTTCAATAAACAGGAAAGAAAGGGTTACCTACTACAGTATCGAAAATGAGGGGCGAGGAAGAGAAGACAACCAAGACTGACAAAAAAAAAAATGAAAAAAAAAAACAAAAATAATAATTAAAAAAAAACATTAAAAAAACGAAAATCAAAACAAAACCTTGAATAAAATGTTTTAGACACAGAAGGGAAAATGTCAGATCTATATTAAATTAATAACTTGAATATTTCAGTGAAAAAATTACGTAAGTGATATGACAAAAATAAGGTCCTTGATACCAGTGAGTGAGCTCAGAATTAATTCTATAAAGTCTGTTGTATGAATATCTCTGTTCTAGAATCTTATAATGAAAGAAAGCTCTTAATTGTTTTGACTTTGTAAAAAAAAAAAAAAAAAAAAAAAAAAAAAAGTACACTTTGAAATATGAAGAAAAATTATTTAATATTTTTACAAGTTATTTTTAAAAAAAAAAGAAAAAAAGAGGAAAATATTGAAGGTAGAACAAAGGAAAAAGCGAGGTTTTTATTTTAAAAGGAGGGGGGAGGTAATCTTCTTCAATGAATAAGTTGGTAATAGAGATAAATTGTATTTAAATAGGGATGTGTAAATCGTGGTCTGAGATAAATAAAGACGGAGTTTAGATATTAATTTTGGCTAGATTTCTTAATGAAATGTAAAAAGATTAAAGTTAATCAGTCAAAAAATATTTTAAACTATTATATAATTTGATAAAGTGCAATATAGAGAGAAAAAGATATTTTATAAATTAGAAATGGGTAATCGTACCAAAAAAGAAATAAATAACTGTACAGTACGGGTAAAAAAAATTAAACCCCGATGGTGGAATCTTGATGGGGTGGTGGTGGTGGTGGTGGTGGTGGGCGCCATAATCTCTGTACTTTCTGCCATATCCAGCTGCATACCCAGACTATTCCACGCTTGATGAAATTGTACACCGCTTTGAAGAGTACATAGCGAGGTGGTGCATTTTGTGCACGTTTCAAGTGCGACCAGAACCCTGCTAAACACCAATCATAAACGTCAAAACGTTTTTTGGACATGTACATAAAAAAAAATGTATTAAAAAACCAAAAGTTTCTGTTGAAACTGTAGCTCTACTGGTTTGTATTTATAACAAAGGAAGAGAAAGTAGCATTGGACTTGAGAAACTTTGCTACAGCAAGAAATAGGTCAATGATCCTCGATTTGGTATATTTTCGTGGAAGACTGCTATCAATCTTGAACTATAAGAGGATTAGTTTTTTTTAAAGAATTTTACAGAAATGTCTCTTTTTAGTTACAACGGCAACACCCTTCATCGATATCAATCAGCAATTTACAGAGTTATGTCTTAGTGTAGTCTACTTTAATGCAAAGTTATATTGAAATCGAAAACCGATATACACAGGATTATGTTCTAATTACTTTCAAGTGTAGTCTACTTCTATTGAAATTAGATCAAAACTGTACGAGGAGTACCGCGATTAAAAAATAATTTAAAGAAATTTCTATTTTGTGTAACCACGGTGTCCAGCACCTTTCATTGAAACAAAAAACCGATACACAGTACTATCATGTATCTTCGTGTAGTCTACTTGTGTACAAGTAATCTTGAAATCAGAATAAAACTGTGGGAGGAGTAGCATTTTGAAAAATTGTTTATACAAACGGACAGATGACGGACACTTTACAATAGCATTTTATTATAAGCTCTTCGATTTCTTGTCTCTGACCAGTAGAGCTAAAAACAACACAAGTATTATATTTTGGCATACCTGAATTTTCGGATACAGCTTGAAAGACAGCCTCAGTTTCCCAACCACATATATATATTCCACTTTCTCTAATGTGGGTAAGTCTTCTTCCAACATCTTCCCAAGCAAAGGGTCTGAGGCTGTCCCGCCATACTACCACCCATTTATAATGGAAAATCGTGCCTATTGGCAATTTGACCTCTACAACCCATTTTCCTGGGTGCATCGGAACTTCCTCTACAGTGAAAATCAGTTGAAAAAAATAAGAACATTTACAGCTATGGGAAGAACTTAAATTCTGCGAAAATTGCACTGTGAGGATGAATCGGTTCTCTAAAAATAAAGGGGAAGCTATACATATAAAGCTTAAAAAGAAAGGAAGAAATTGATGAGCAACTGCTACAATTGAACTTTTCAGTTTTGAGATTTGAAAGCGAAAATCAAAATGGACAGATTAAATTCATTCTCACAAAACTATGCATAAAAAGGTTTGTAGCGAGGAACCATCACAGTAATAATTTTGAAAAATATCAACACACTATAAAGGAATTTCAGCCAAAGCTGTGAAAGTTCGTCTTCAAAGCGATATCCGTGTTAATTTTATACAAAATTTTCCGTTTGAAAACCATTTAGGAATTACATCGATGGTTTCTTTTCTGATCCAATGAGTTTATATAGATTATCTTTTCCGAGTCATTATGACGTCATAATGGATTTAAAGTTTTGATTTTACCGTACTTTGTGGCTGTAGAAAATGAAGTATTTACATGGAATTCAATTTGAAACCCAGTCAACGGAACCCCGATACTTTAATTCAATGATTTTAAAGTACTGATCAAGAAAATACGAAAACTGTTTTCTGAGAGGATGTGGACAATAATAAAACTTTTTTCCTGAGATGGAAAGAAAACACCAAATTTGTTTTACATTTCTTCATTTATAATTGAAAATTAACCTTAGAATATTTCTTATTGAATATACCGGAAATGTACACCCCGATACACATTATTATATCTGTAAAGGATCGTTAAAAGAACTCGTTTTTCTTTGAAAAATCTGTAGACACTTTTCTTAGGTCAATGAAAAGAATCATACCTGCAATAAGAGCTTCTTCCAGGTTCCAATTCCCTAACTGGGGGATGGATCCGGTGACAGCTAATGCCAGATTTTCTGAAGGAACTTTACAATGGCATTGCATTTCTATCTTCGCCAAAATAAACCTTCCTAGGGTTTCGTTCACAGCCATTTCTACTTCTTTGATAACTAAGCAATCAATTGTGACGTCACATCATTGTGACGTCAGATTCTCTCGTTATAACGAGGCAACCCTATTCAACAATAATCAGTAGTGTCACAACCCCACAGGAACCCCTGAGACTGGGACCAGTCCACACATTTCACAATTTTGGAAAAGGTTCCCTTGCTCATCATAAATTCAATGTTCCATTTAATGCCAATTAGAAGCGGATTTCAAAGCATTAACTCGATCCTTTTCAGTATGTAATCATTACAACTCCTATACCCCCACCCCACCTTTAGTACCTCTGATCCTGGGGTCTTAAAATTCAAAATTCTGGAAAAAAGGACCCTTGCTCATCTTAACTATGTAGGTAATAGAAGTCCATCTGCTTAATGGGGCCAGCTGGGGATTTTATTGTGTGTAAACTACAATAGCGAAATTAACTCTTCATTTTATACCATATTTATAACTTACATTAACTTTAGTGTACATGCAAAGTTTGGGTGAAACAAGCAAATTCAAAGAATTGTGGTCCCCCGCTTTCAGTGTCTTTGTGGATGAGATGTCATTTTTTTATGACACATTGTGTCTAATATGAACACCCTATCATATGTCATTTATTTAGAAATTATCACTGAAGTTGATTTCTTTTTAAAAATAAGGTCACTTGTGAAGGTCAAGATCAAGGGGTAAGAATTCATAGCATGCTCGGAAATATCTTGTCACAGGTAATGCACATGTCAAATATGAAAGTCCTATCTCTTCTCAATATAAGGAACAAGATGTGTCAAATTGTGAAACACAGATGACCTCGTATGGCAACATAACAAAGATTTAACATTTCTTAATTCAAATGAAATATATTTGATATTACCAAAAGTAGGGTTTTCAGACAAGAAATACGATTGTGAAATACAAAATCCCACCCCCCTGTTCAAAAGAAAGTTATGGCCAAGGATACATTTTTGAAAGGTAGGTCAAACTCCAAGGTGAAAGGATCTGAGTTGTTGATTTCTTTAAAAAGGTCACAAGTAATACATATGTGAAGGATGAAAACCCTAACCTTAACCGTTCAATAGTTATGGCCAAGGTAAAAGTTTTGGAAAAGTAAGTCAATCTCCAAGGTCAAGGTCAAAGGGTCAAAGTTCTTGGTATCCAATGAAAGGTCTTCTCATAAGGATTACATATGTGAAGTACGAAAGCCTTAGCCCTTACCGTTCAAATGTTATGGTCAAGGTTAAACTTTTTTTTTCAAAAGTACGGAAATCTCCAAGGTCAAAGTCAAAATGTCAGAATACTAGTAGTTGGTATCCAATGAAAGGCCTTGCCACAAAAATACATATGTGAAATATGTAAGTCCTAGTTTCTACCATTCAAAAGATATGGTAAAGTTTTTTCATAAGTACAGAAATCTCCAAGGTCAAAAGGTCAAAGTTGTTGGTATCCAATGAAAGGTCTTGCGACAAAAAATACATATGTGCTAAAATATGAATTCCTACATGTAGTATCTACTGTTCAAAAGTTGTGGCCATGGTCAAAGTTTTTGAAAATTAGGTCAATCTCCATGGTCAAGGTCAAAGGGTCAAAGTTCTTGGTATCCAATGAAAGGTCTTTTCACAAGGATTACATATGAGAAGTATGATAGCCCTAGCCCTTTCCGTTCTAAAGTTATGGTCAAGGTAAAAGTTTTTTCATAGGTCTCTAAGGTCAAGGTTAAAAGGTCAAAATTGTTGGTATCCAATGAAAGGCCTTGACACAAAAAATGCATATGTGAAATATGAAATTCCTAGTTTCTACTATTCAAAAGATATGGCCAAAGTAAAAGTTTGGATTTTTTGTGTAAAAGTGGGTCAAACTTCAAGGTCTAGGTCAAAAATGGTGGTACCCAACGAAAGGTCTTCTCACAAGAGACACACAAGTGAAATATGAAAGTCATAGCTCCACTAAATCAAAAAACATAGGTAATCAGAGATTCTCCAGTAAGGCAAATTAAGCCACACAATTAACCAACAAAAAGCGTACATCCAAAAATGCAAAATTTATGCAATTTTGATACTTTGGAATAGACCTATATAAAAACTTAAATCTAGTTCTTCATCATGAAAATGTAATTAAAATCCAGCATCTGAAGCAAGATTGAGAGTTTTCATCCCTTGATGCATCATTTGTGCAACTTTGGTTTATATAAGCTTTATAGTTTCTTGGTGATAGACCTGCACCCATAACTTTTACGAGGTCTATTATCTGGAAAATGTATGTTGAATTCAGCATCTGAAGCAAGTCCATTAGTGTGCATCCTAAGATGTATCAAAAGTTTGTTCAACATGCTCAAAGTTACTTGGAAATGAAACCTGTATCCGGAAAAGTTTTTAGCCAGCCCAGTAGAATGCAACCTTAGATGTGCAAGTTTGGTCATTAAGGCTCAAAAGGTTAAACTTTAACCTGGTCCAGAAAATGTAGGTCAGATTCCGAAGCAAGTTGTATGTAAGATGTACCATCCATGCAAGTTTAGTCATTATAGGGTTCATAGTACCTTGGAAATGAAACCTGTACCAAAAATTTTAACCTCTTCACTCAACCGGAAAATGTAGGTCAGATTCAGCATCCGAAGCAAGTCTTGTAATATGCATCCTAAGATGTACCATCCATGCAAGTTTGGTCATTACATGTCTCATAGTGAAATGAAACCTGCACCAAAAACTTTAACCTGTTTCTACCGGAAAATGTAGGTATTTCAAGCAAGTCTGGTAGAATGCATCCTAAGATGTACCATCCATGCAAGTTTGGTTTGGTATTCAAAATTGCACCAAAAACTTTAACCTGTTCACTCAACCGGAAAATGTGTCCAAAAAGTCTGGTCAAATCCTAAGATGTACCATCCATGTAAGTTTGGTCAACATAGGGCTTATAGTTACTCGGAAATGAGACCTACACCAAAAACTGTACCAAAAATGTTAACCTGCACCAAAAACATTAACCTGGTCATTCCTTTCTGAAATTGCAGCATCTGAAACTTTGGGTACAATGAAACACACTAGAAACATCTTCCATGCATGTCTAATCATAGGACATAGAAGTAGTCAAAAAACTTAACCTCCACTAAATAAAAAATAATGGGCAAGGTTAAAGTTTTTGTGACGGACGGACAGACGAATGAGATTTAATGTCCCCTCGCTTTCGCTAAAGCGGGGGACAATAAAGAAGGCAATAAATTGTTATTTTATTCATTATGGTTTTATTTTGATCGGGATTGGTCCAAAATATTTTTTTTCAATTTGCCATTTCATTTCAATTTCTTGCCAAAAAGACAGACTAGTCAAAATTCACATATACTTTGATCATTAATAAACTTTAAGTGAATCATCATGCATACGTACAGATATTTCTCCATCAGATAATAAAGGCTTGTCATAATTTTTAATTCTTTTACCACCAACCTTTCACTTGCTATTTGACTTCGAATTAAAGTCATGACACTCCTTAGGTTCATAAACAGTACCTGTATCAGGTTCCAATGAGCAATCTTTGTATCAAGTACGAGCTCCTAGTATTTCTACATTGTTAAGTTAAAGTCTTAAAAAATAATTTTACACTATTCTGCCTGTAACTTTGAACTTGCTGCATTGACACTGGATTAAAATAAGAACTATCCTTATTTAAAAAACAATACCTGTACCAATTCTTTTCCAAATAAAGTTTTAGCCGAGACATTTTTTTTCTTTTTTCTACCAGTGACCTTGAAATCGCCAAAATGACCTTGGATAAAGGTCAAGGCATATTCTTTGATCATAAGCAATATCTGTACCGAGTATGAGCTTCCACTGACTCTCCATTACAAAGTCAAGTTATGTCATACCTTTTTTCTACTAGTAACCTTGAACTAAATGGAATGACTGGATTGAAGATCATGACACATTTTTGGGTCATAAGCAATCCCTGTACCAGGTTTGAGCTTCCAGTGATTCTTTCTACAAAGTTATGACCCAGACAAAAATTTCATACTTTTAGGCCAGTGACCTTGAACTTGCAGGAATGACCTTGTGTCAGATCAGGACTCACTGTCGGGTCATTACAAGCAAGCTCTATAACAAGTATAAGCTTCCAATGTTTCCATATATCAAAGTTAGAGCCTAGACAAAATTACATTCACAGACAATGTGATTCCTATATATCCCTAAAACTTCCTTTGTTTGGGGTAAAAAGAGAAGTTTCATTACAAGGAATATACATTTGAAATATGAAAGCCCTAGCACTAATCATTCACATCATTTTGTTTTACCAAAGTAGGTCAAAGTCTAACTTAAAGGTTAAAAAAAAGTTCAAAAGGAATGGCCATGGGTAGTAAAAATTAGTAAATTTGGAGACACATAAACAGACAGACAGTTTATCAAAATATGCCCCCAAATCTTCAATTATAGAGGTGGAATAAAAACTCAACAAGTTTAATTCCATGACAAAAAGACTGTATAATAGTGTATTTTAATATATATGATAAATTCAAACTGACATAAATTAATCATGTATCACAAGGGACAAACACAGTTTTTACAATTACATGTACATCAGTTATGCTTTTCAAGAAAAATTGAAAAAATATGAAACATCTAGAAAATCTTCATATACTACTTGTGTATGAAGTAGAACATGCTTATAGGACTTGACAAGGAAAAATATTTCATAAAAAACTTAAATTACTTAGAACCTCAGTAACAACTAAAAGAAGGAAAAAGTGTTGCATACAAAGATAAAACTAAATTAGATAAGCAAGAAGCCCATGGGCCACATCACTCACCTGAGTAACTTTGGCCATTATATTATTAAAGAGATTTCCCCCTAATACCTATCTTGACCTTTCCCAATCCCCAGGGGTCATGATTCAAGCAATTTAGAATCTACACTAGTAACACTACCCCAGGATGCTTCCACAGAAGTTTAGCTTTTCTGGCCCAGTGGTTCTTGAGAAGATTTTTTTATGACCCCACCCTATTTTTGTATATTCTTGACAATTTCCCCTCGGAAGGGGACTTTATTTTTATAATTTAAACTCCCACTACCCAAGGATGTTTTGTATTAAGTTTGGTCAAAATTGGCCCAATGGTTCTCAAGAATAAGCTGAAAATGTGAAAAGTTTACAGATGAATGGACAGTCAGACGGATGGACGATGGACAACAGGTGATCAGAAAATCTCATATGAGCTAAAAACTGCAAGGCCTGCTATATAAGTCAAAGGAGAGAAAATATAAAAGAATTTAGATTTTGCATATTGTTATATTTATTTATAATCTAAAACACTAAAAAATAATAATGTTACAATGAGATCACTTTATCTTTTCTAGCAATTTTCAAACTAAAATTAGATATCATTGAGATGGTGGCCATCTCAAAGGGTCCCACTTTCAGCAATGAACATAAAAATGTAAAGTAGCTGAAAGGGGTTTTAACCTTGACTCTTGGCCTAGAAACTTTGTTCAAGGTCACTACACATCCATTGACCAGTGGCACTCTGTGAGAGAAGTATTAGCCACATTGGACCAAGGGGAGAAAGCATATGCTCTGGACAAGGATTCACAATAAAAAAAATTACCTCCCTTTCTCTTAAGCTTAGATATTCAGACAAGCACTGATTTACCTCTCTTGATATTTTTGCTTCAAAATCCAATCTTTAATTTTTTTTAAATTAAAAAATATAATATACAGATACCAAAAAAAACATTCAGAAAAAATAACGTAGTATATTAAAAGTTGTACAATAATGTAGTATCACAACTTAATTTGAGTGATCTGCTGTGGATGTCATATGATCATGAGTTATCCTTAATGAGTTATGTACTCAGCATGGTACACTGAATCCTGAGAATTAAGCTGTTTACTGTGTTCATCACTTTGTAGATATTAGTACATACTCAACTCTGTCCATTGGATTCTGTGAGTTAAGCTATTTAGTGTGTCCATCACTTTGTAGATAACAATGTACTCTGCACGGTCCATTGAATTCTGTCAGTTAAGCTATTTAGTGTGTCCATCACTTTGTAGATATATAACAATGTTCTCAGCACGGTCCATTGAATTCTGTCAGTTAAGCTATTTAGTGTGCCCATCACTTTGTAGATATATAATAATGTACTCAGCACTATCCATTGAATTCTTTGAGATGAGTTATTTAGTGTGTCCATCACTTGCAGTCCAAACCTTAAATTACTCTCTGCACTATTGCTGAAGCATATTTGTCTGCTATCAAAGAAACATGAAATTGATGGCAGTCTGCCTGTAAAAAAAGAAATCACAAGGACTCAACATAAATATTAATAAAATCTTAACTAGAACTGTCCAAACGGGACAAAATACCCCCCGCTGGGTTTTTTCAGAAGTAAATTTTTCCATAATAAAGATATGTATCACACATGAATTCTGAAATTTTTCTTCCAGTGACCTTGAAATTCCCCAAATGACCTTGGGTCAAGGTCATGACTTACCCTTGGGTCATGAGCAATCTTTGTGTGAGATGAGAACCTACCACGTTTATCCATAAAAAAGATATGGACTGGAAAGATTTAGGAACTTTTTCTTCCTGTGACCTTGAACTTCCCCAAATGACCTTGGGTCAAGGTCATGACACACCCTTGGGTCATGGGCAATCTTTGTGTGAAATGAGAACCTACCAAGATTATCCATAAGAAAGATGTGGGCTGGACACAAATTACGAACTTTTTCTTCCAGTGACCTTGAACTTCACCAAATGACCTTGGGTCAAGGTCATGACACACCTTTGGGTCATGGGCAAGTGAAATGAGAACCTACCAAGTTTATCCATAAGAAAGATATGGACCGGACACGAATTATGAACTTTTTCTTCCAGTGACCTTGAACTTCTCCAAATGACCTTGGGTCAAGGTCATGACACACCCTTAGGTCATGGGCAATCTTTGTGTGGAGTAGTAGATTCTAATGTCCCTCCATAAGAAAGATATGGACCGGACACGTTTGCACAGACAGACGGACAGACAGACAGACGGACAAGGTGATTCCTATATACCCCCCCCAAACTTCGTTTGCGGGGGGTATAATAAATGAAAAATAGCTAACATATTTTTACAGAATAGAAGGATTTTGCAGAGCTTGTACATGTGTCTTACCTTTATTTTCAGGTCCCATAGTTGATCTCTTTGGAGTCTTGAGGAATCATGTTGATCTGCTTTTGGAAACAGGATCAATGCCAGCATAACCGCCTGCCTATTAACAAAAAAACACTAAGAATCCAAGCAATGAGAGAGTCAAAATCTCCTCTAATTCACATAATGCAAGGTCTAGAGCTTTACATGCATCTGATCTGACTAACCATCAATGTTTAGGTTAGACAGTAGTAAGTCCTTACTTTCCACATTCTTGTTAACTGATTGAGATCAGTCTCATCTTCTACTTGATAATGAAAAAAACATGAACAAAAATACCTTGTGCCAAAATGTTCACCTGAGTCATCTTGACTTTGTCATCAAAAGAAAAATTCTTAATTCATATTTTTTTTACTAATCCTAGTCCAAAGGGATCATGATGTAACATAATTTGAAACAACACATCCTCGGGATGCCCTATTGTTATTGCAACACAGTCTTGCTGTTGTGCAGCAGAAGTGAATCCCCCTGGACCTATGATTTGATAAGTGTATAAACAAAATTTGTAAATTGCAAAAAATAAATCTTTTTACCCACTCCTTAATCAGATATTGGCTGCTGTACAAAGCTTGGCAATAGACTCTTCTTTTTCTTCACTTGGTCAGCACTGGTCCTCTTCCCTTGTCAAATTCCTTGAAAATACTTGATGGAGAGAAGATAAGCAATAATACAAAGCAATGTAATAATCACAGAAATTCAAATGAACATAATCATTACAACATTATTAGCTTGAAAATCAAAAAGCAAATAAAGACAATAAGGTTATGATAGCTAGGAAAAAGGTGGAATATTGGGGCAAGGAGAGGAAAGCATAGTTACTTTAGAGTAGGGAGGACAAAGATATGTCAGAAATAATTAAATAAAAAATACTTGTAAGACTCCTGCCTGTTAAAGTGGGTCATGATGAAGTTCCATAGGTGAAAAAGAAGTAAAGTCTGATTCTTACGAGTATTCTCCTCATGGCTGCAGCGGAATGGGAAAGGGACTCTTCCTCACTTCTTGAGAAGATTTTTTAATGACCCCACCCTAGTTTTGTCTTTTCTTGATTATCTCCCCTTGTGAGGGGACTTGGCCCTTCATTTTAACAATTTAAATTCCCCTTTACTCAAGAATGCTTGGTACCAAGTTTGGTCAAAATTGGCCCAGTGGTTCTTGAGAAGAAGTCAAAAATGTGAAAAGTTTACAGATGGACGGGCGGACAGACGACGGACAAAATGTGATCAGAAAAGCTCACTTTAGCCTTTGGCTCAGGTGAGCTAAAAAGATGACAAAGACATAAAATGAACAAAGGGTTCACTTCTTTTAAAAACCAGCACTTATATCAATTGATTCTACTACTAAATTGGGTTTGTGATCAGGAGAGATCCTATATGAGATGTTTACCAATGCTTTTGAGACTCATCTTCCCACGCGCCCTTGCGAACTTAGCCTGGGACAAAATGATACCCAGTATCCATCTGCTTCCACGTGGAGGCATCGCATAGGACTTGTTGTGGAGAGGCTATGTACTGGCAGGGGAAGACATTAGAATTTCTTCCCCCTTTTCGCATTGCTGCTAGCCAGCGGTGATGGCTGAAAGCGAGAGGTGACAAGCACACAGACACTTACACCAACACACTAGACGCGTCACACAACATTTAGCAGACGTTAGTAGTTTTAGTAGCTTGTTACTTGTTCAGGGTTCTCCATTGTTTGAAATTTTACTGTGTTGCAGAGTTTACGCAAAGCACTAAAATTTCACAGTATTTTAGCGATCAAATTTGCAACTGACTCACTATTCATTATAATTACTTAAGAATACATGCACACAATTTAAAAAAAAAAAATCACCAATTCGTTACAAAAATAGTATGGTCGAACATATTAGCACATGTTGTGAAATGCAGAGGAAATTCTTGTCTATAAAGTTGAACTACTTACAATTTTTTAAAGCAAATTTGTCATAATTTTTTTGTCAATTTTATTGATCGAATTAAGGAATTACAAAAAAAGAGACTTCGGAATAGTAAAATACTTTTAAAAGTTCCTTGAAAATTGAAAACTATTTATTTACATCAAGTAAATGATTTTGGTACAGTGTTATGTTTGATTTACATTGCAAACATAATTCTAGATCCATGGCTCTAAAGAAAAGACATTTAAATATATTTTTAAAAATAATACAATGTACTTTAATTGCAACTACTAGTACCAATTAAGCGTTACATGGAAGTTTGAAATCCAATTTTTTGTCTTTGTTCCTTCATGCGTCAAGTCCATTGAGGGTCTAGGAAATAATTGATTATGCAAGGTGAAAGCATAATTAAGTGATCTAGATATCGTATAGAATTGAAAGACGGTAGAATTGTTTGATCAATTATGTTTCAGATAGAGAGAATTTGTATGTTTCAATCTTTTTTATTATCACAGATCATACTGTGTCAGCAAAATTTTGAATGTGTCGCACAGATAAAATTTGAATATTACTGTGTCGGAGAACATTTTTCTGTGTTGGGACCAACACAGTAAAACAGCTCATGGAGAACCCTGCTTGTTAGGGTGTTAATCATGCAAACCTATCCACCACAAGCACTAATCATGCACTAACTAACAAATACCTTAACACTACAATAATAACCTACACTCCTCTAAGCTGTCTAACTATCAACTAAAGCCTACTTACTAACTCAACCTACAACACAACTGCACCTACAGGAAATACTATACAAACTAAACCTAAGACTAAGAAACACCTTTGTAACGCTACTTACAACTACTATACACCCAATACTTTCTGAATGCAGCAGAAAACACTCCAGACTGACCTTCAGAGGTGGCTATCTCTGCTTCCTGTCAATTCAAACTCAAGAGGTCAAAGCCTGAAAAAGTCAACATCAATTGGAAAGCCATAATATTGGGAAAAGGTGCTCAGAGGTCAAGTATGAATTTTACCGCACTTTCAGCTCATGAATGCTGTTAAATAGGAGAGGGACTGCTCTTCACTTCCGGATCCTGGTCAGCCTCAAATTTCTTCTGCTTAAAAAGAGAAAACAAACACATCAAAGGAGAATCACTCACATTCCCTAACAAATGACAAACTTCATTTGAATAATCAATTTGTTACTTACAACCTTGAGCCATATTGGCTGCTGCATAGAGATGGGAAATAGACTCGTCATCCTGTCTTTTGCTGTTGGTCGACCTTGCTCCTCCATCGTTGTTCGTCTTCCGAGTCCCTGAAAGTATAAAACTGACACAATGTTAGTAAAACTTCAAAAGAATGCAACAAATCACGAAAACTTACTTACCACTTTGGGCCATGTTGGCTGCTGTATAGAGATGGGAAATGGACTCGTCATCTCGTCTTCTTCTGTTGGTCGACCTTGCTCCTCCATCGTTGTTCCTCTCCCGAGTCCCTGAAAGTATAAAACTGGCACAATGTTAGTAAAACTTCAAAAGAATGCAACAAATCACGAAAACTTACTTACCACTTTGGGCCATGTTGGCTGCTGTATAGAGATGGGAAATGGACTCGTCATCTCATCGTCCTCTGTTGGTCGACCCTGCTCCTCCATCGTTGTTCCTCTCCCGAGTCCCTGAAAGTATAAAACTGGCACAATGTTAGTAAAACTTCAAAAGAATGCAACAAATCACGAAAAGTTACTTACCACTTTGGACCATGTTGGCTGCTGTATAGAGATGGGAAATGGACTCGTCATCTCGTCTTCCTCTGTTGGTCGACCTTGCTCCTCCATCGTTGTTCCTCTTCCGAGTCCCTGAAAGTATAAAACTGGCACAATGTTAGTAAAACTTCAAAAGAATGCAACAAATCATGAAGAGTTACTTACCACTTTGGGCCATGTTGGCTGCTGTATAGAGATGGGAAATGGACTCGTCATCTCGTCTTCCTCTGTTGGTCGACCCTGCTCCTCCATCGTTGTTCCTCTTCCGAGTCCCTGAAAGTATAAAACTGACACAATGTTAGTAAAACTTCAAAAGAATGCAACAAATCACGAAAAGTTACTTACCACTTTGGGCCATGTTGGCTGCTGTATAGAGATGGGAAATGGACTCGTCATCTCGTCTTCCTCTGTTGGTCGACCTTGCTCCTCCATCGTTGTTCCTCTCCCGAGTCCCTGAAAGTATAAAACTGGCACAATGTTAGTAAAACTTCAAAAGAATGCAACAAATCACGAAAAGTTACTTACCACTTTGGGCCATGTTGGCTGCTGTATAGAGATGGGAAATGGACTCGTCATCTCGTCTTCCTCTGTTGGTCGACCTTGCTCCTCCATCGTTGTTCCTCCTCTGAAACCCTGAAAGTATAAAACTGGCACAATGTTAGTAAAACTTCAAAAGAATGCAACAAATCACGAAAAGTTACTTACCACTTTGGGCCATGTTGGCTGCTGTATAGAGATGGGAAATGGACTCGTCATCTCGTCTTCTTCTGTTGGTCGACCTTGCTCCTCCATCGTTGTTCCTCTCCCGAGTCCCTGAAAGTATAAAACTGGCACAATGTTAGTAAAACTTCAAAAGAATGCAACAAATCACGAAAAATTACTTACCACTTTGGGCCATGTTGGCTGCTGTATAGAGATGGGAAATGGACTCGTCATCTCGTCTTCCTCTGTTGGTCGACCCTGCTCCTCCATCGTTGTTCCTCTTCCGAGTCCCTGAAAGTATAAAACTGTCACAATGTTAGTAAAACTTCAAAAGAACGCAACAAATCACGAAAAGTTACTTACCACTTTGGACCATGTTGGCTGCTGTATAGAGATGGGAAATGGACTCGTCATCTCGTCTTCCCCTGCTCCTCCATCGTTGTTCCTCTTCCGAGTCCCTGAAAGTATAAAACTGGCACAATGTTAGTAAAACTTCAAAAGAATGCAACAAATCATGAAAAGTTACTTACCACTTTGGGCCATGTTGGCTGCTGTATAGAGATGGGAAATGGACTCGTCATCTCGTCTTCCTCTGTTGGTCGACCTTGCTCCTCCATCGTTGTTCCTCCTCTGAAACCCTGAAAGTATAAAACTGGCACAATGTTAGTAAAACTTCAAAAGAATGCAACAAATCATGAAAAGTTACTTACCACTTTGGGCCATGTTGGCTGCTGTATAGAGATGGGAAATGGACTCGTCATCTCGTCCCCCTGCTCCTCCATCGTTGTTCCTCTTCAGAGTCCCTGAAAGTATAAAACTGGCACAATGTTAGTAAAACTTCAAAAGAATGCAACAAATCACGAAAAGTTACTTACCACTTTGGGCCATGTTGGCTGCTGTATAGAGATGGGAAATGGACTCGTCATCTCGTCTTCCCCTGTTGGTCGACCCTGCTCCTCCATCGTTGTTCCTCTTCCGAGTCCCTGAAAGTATAAAACTGGCACAATGTTAGTAAAACTTCAAAAGAATGCAACAAATCATGAAAAGTTATTTACCACTTTGGGCCATGTTGGCTGCTGTATAGAGATGGGAAATGGACTCGTCATCTCATCGTCCTCTGTTGGTCGACCCTGCTCCTCCATCATTGTTCCTCTCCCTAGTCCCTGAAAGTATAAAACTGGCACAATGTTAGTAAAACTTCAAAAGAATGCAACAAATCACGAAAAGTTACTTACCACTTTGGACCATGTTGGCTGCTGTATAGAGATGGGAAATGGACTTGTCATCTTGTCTTCTTCTGTTGGTCGACCTTGCTCCTCCATCGTTGTTCCTCTTCCGAGTCCCTGAAAGTATAAAACTGGCACAATGTTAGTAAAACTTCAAAAGAATGCAACAAATCATGAAAAGTTACTTACCACTTTGGGCCATGTTGGCTGCTGTATAGAGATGGGAAATGGACTCGTCATCTTGTCTTCTTCTGTTGGTCGACCTTGCTCCTCCATCGTTGTTCCTCTTCCGAGTCCCTGAAAGTATAAACTGGCACAATGTTAGTAAAACTTCAAAAGAATGCAACAAATCACGAAAAGTTACTTACCACTTTGGGCCATGTTGGCTGCTGTATAGAGATGGGAAATGGACTCGTCATCTTGTCTTCTTCTGTTGGTCGACCTTGCTCCTCCATCGTTGTTCCTCTTCCGAGTCCCTGAAAGTATAAAACTGGCACAATGTTAGTAAAACTTCAAAAGAATGCAACAAATCACGAAAAGTTACTTACCACTTTGGGCCATGTTGGCTGCTGTATAGAGATGGGAAATGGACTCGTCATCTCGTCTTCCTCTGTTGGTTGGCCTTGCTCCTCCATCGTTGTTCCTCTACCGAGTCCCTGAAAGTATAAAACTGGCACAATGTTAGTAAAACTTCAAAAGAATGCAACAAATCATGAAAAGTTACTTACCACTTTGGGCCATGTTGGCTGCTGTATAGAGATGGGAAATGGACTCGTCATCTCGTCTTCCCCTGCTCCTCCATCGTTGTTCCTCTTCCGAGTCCCTGAAAGTATAAAACTGGCAATATTTCAGTAAAACTTCAAAAAAATGCAACAAATCACAAAAAGTTACTTACCACTTTGGGCCATGTTGGCTGCTGTATAGAGATGGGAAATGGACTCGTCATCTCGTCTTCCTCTGTTGGTCGACCCTGCTCCTCCATCGTTGTTCCTCTTCCGAGTCCCTGAAAGTATAAAACTGGCACAATGTTAGTAAAACTTCAAAAGAATGCAACAAATCATGAAAAGTTACTTACCACTTTGGGCCATGTTGGCTGCTGTATAGAGATGGGAAATGGATTCGTCATCTCGTCTTCCTCTGTTGGTCGACCCTGCTCCTCCATCGTTGTTCCTCTTCCGAGTCCCTGAAAGTATAAAACTGGCACAATGTTAGTAAAACTTCAAAAGAATGCAACAAATCACGAAAAGTTATTTACCACTTTGGGCCATGTTGGCTGCTGTATAGAGATGGGAAATGGACTCGTCATCTCGTCTTCCCCTGCTCCTCCATCGTTGTTCCTCTTCCGAGTCCCTGAAAGTATAAAACTGGCACAATGTTAGTAAAACTTCAAAAGAATGCAACAAATCACAAAAAGTTACTTACCACTTTGGGCCATGTTGGCTGCTGTATAGAGATGGGAAATGGACTCGTCATCTCGTCTTCCTCTGTTGGTCGACCCTGCTCCTCCATCGTTGTTCCTCTTCCGAGTCCCTGAAAGTATAAAACTGGCACAATGTTAGTAAAACTTCAAAAGAATGCAACAAATCACGAAAAGTTACTTACCACTTTGGGCCATGTTGGCTGCTGTATAGAGATGGGAAATGGACTCGTCATCTCGTCTTCCTCTGTTGGTCGACCTTGCTCCTCCATCGTTGTTCCTCTTCCGAGTCCCTGAAAGTATAAAACTGGCACAATGTTAGTAAAACTTCAAAAGAATGCAACAAATCACGAAAAGTTACTTACCACTTTGGGCCATGTTGGCTGCTGTATAGAGATGGGAAATGGACTCGTCATCTCGTCTTCCTCTGTTGGTTGGCCTTGCTCCTCCATCGTTGTTCCTCTACCGAGTCCCTGAAAGTATAAAACTGGCACAATGTTAGTAAAACTTCAAAAGAATGCAACAAATCACAAAAATTCAAGTGAATAAAATCAGTACAACACAATTCATTGAAAAATCAGAAAACAATGACAGTGAATTCAGGAAGACGAATGAGGGGGAAAGGGAAGGGGATGGTTAGTTATGTTAGAGTCAGCAGGGGCCAGGGGGTAGGGGAAAGAAGGGAGAAAATCAAAAATACTTCCATATAAGCTTCCTTTGCTGTTGCTGTGGCTTCTGGTGATGTTTCTTCTGAACTGTCTCAGCATTTCTGCTTCCTGTCAATTCAAAATCAATAGGTCAAAGCCTGACAAAGCCAACATCAATTGGAAAGCCAAAATACTGGGAAAAGGTACAAAGAGGTCAAGTATGAATCTTACCCCATTTTCTGCTCATGAATGCTGTTAAATGGGAAAGGGACTGCTCCTCACTTCAGGATCCTGGTCAGCCTCAAATTTCTTCTGCTCTTATAAAGAGAAAACAGACACATCATAGGGGAGACACTCTCATTTCACATGAAGTATGAAACTTCATTTAAAAGCATAGATAATCAAAGATTATAAATGTAAGGAAGCTCACCTCGGACAGAATGTTATCAGTTTAAGTAATGCAAATCTCACATCATATTTCCTTAACAGTTAGTATTTATCCTGACAACAATATTCAAGCAAATTCTGTTTAAATAGGTTTTAAAGTTCATTGAGGATTGACATTTTCCAAATACTTGAACCTGGTCACTTGTTTGAAGAATGCAGGTCAGATCCAGCATCCGAAGCAAGTTTCAAATGTCCATCTTTAGATGCATCATCCATGCAAGTTTGGTCAGGGTAGAGCTGAGTTGGGAATAATTTCATCACTCATCTGGAAAAAGTAGGTCAGATCAAGCATCCGAAGCAAGTCTGGTAGTGTCCATTCCTAGATGCATCATCCATGCTTGTTTGGATCGGGTAGGACTTACAGTTTCTTGGGAATGGACCTGCTCCAAAAACCTTAACCTGGTCACTCATCTGGAAAATGTGGGTCAGATCCAGCATCCGAATCAAGTCTGATAGTGTCCATTCCTAAATGCATCATCCATGCAATTTTGGTCCAGGTACGACTTATACTTACTAGAACATGGACTTGCTCCTAAAACTCTACCATGGCACAAATGCTAACCCTGAGGCTGGTGTCAGGGTATAGCATAACTACATCTTGACTTTGTTGAGGTAAGTTCAAGTTCAAAATAAAGCTTTAAGGTAAAAAAAATTTTTGCATTTGAATAACCTTCATCAATATCTCTAATTTGATTGTGATCATTCAACAGGTTAATAGTTATATTAGAATGACTATTTCCAAATATTTCCTTGCTCCAAAAATTTTGACTCTTTCACTCATCCATAAAATGTAGGTTGGATTCAGAATCTAAAGCAAGCCTGGTAATGGATCCATGAAAGATTGGTCAAAATAGGCCTTATAGTTAATTGGAAATGAGACTAGCTCAAAAAACTTTTAACCTAGTCACTCATATTAAAAATAAAGGCCAGATTCAGCATCCGAGGCAAGCCTGGTAGTGTACTTCCATATATTTTATTTTGGATGTACATGTTTGATTCTTGTAAGTTTGGTCAAAATACTTGGAAATGACACCTGCTTCAAAAACATTAACCTGATCATTCTTTTAAATTAGCTGAAATTGCAGTCTCTGAAACCCTGGTTGGTACAATGAAACATACTTGAAGCATCTTACATGCATCCCTTAGGGGCTAGGGCATAGATGTACTTAAAAAGAAGTCTGCTCCAAAAACTTTCATCTGGGACACCAACACTTGCACTGATCCCATGGGTGTTACTAATATTCCTGTCCACTTCATATTGGTGAGCAAAAAAATGATTAAAATGCATATTTTTTATGCCATCTCTGATTTGATGAATAAATTTATGCAAGTAAAATGTCATGCCGACAACCTCACCGCTTGATTTCCAGCAGAATCCGGAAAGGGGGCAAAACATCAATTGGCTGGGCTATTCCATTTGAGAAAAAAGTGACATTTGGTTGAAATTTAAAAAAAACCCATAATTTTGTCATTTTTCTATTTATGTAAATAAATAATAGTTTATCTTTTATTTGCAAGGTACTCATTGACTTTTTTACTTGCATATGATGTATTAAGGTACAGGAGTACCTCCCTCTTTTTCAAAAGGGAGGGGAGTTTAGTGTGGTATGAGTGTGTGCAGGTATGTGTTAACTTGACACTGTGTGCGATGCGCAAGTGTGTGTAAGTTGTCGTCTGTTGTGCATGGTGGTGTGTAGATCTAGTCACTTGTATTGCAGGAGAGATTGCGTATTATAATATTGTAAGTCTTGTATGATTAATGCTGAATACAAATATAAACAATTACTATCATTGTCAGTTTATACATACAATACTTCAACATTCACTCAATCAGTATTTGGAGCACGTCGTTTATATATTTATTTGAACATCAATTAGATTATACATTACAGAGTCCAAATATTTTATAACCAAATTTTGTTTGTTTTGATTGTCTGTTGGAAATTTTCTTTGGTGAAATTGGGAAAACACATACTTTTTGCCATTATGAATGGAGCAAAAAACAGGCCCCTTCGACACCCTAAAAATGCCTGTCAGTAAAAATATGCCATCTGTCAGTTAAAAAATATTTGCATACATTTGCCACCCACTTTTTTGAAAAAACTGTGTTTTTATTGCGCACAAAAAAGTGCGCTCGGTTCTCGATTTATTTCTCCATGTTTTTAAACTGTGATCTCAAAACATTACTAACCGTGTGTTCCGCACATATTCTTTCGCTGTTTCCACGACCAAACATTCCTCATAATTGTTGTTAATAGTCCTCCTGACCCTGATATTGTAATCATAGAACATTTCGCTTACTATATACTGCCATTTTGGTTTCAAAGATAATTCGGTCTAATATGCTTTGTTCAGATGTCAACTACGAGAGTACTTGATAGAGGAGAAAGGATTGTTTAAAATCTTCCCTTTTTGCAACTGAGGTAGGAATTATTTTAATGCAATTGTCCTATTTAAGAATACAGACTATTTTGTGTCATTTGTAAGAACCGAGCCACTTTTTTGTGCGCAATAAATATACAGTTTTTTCAGTGGGTGGCACTATAGCTCTCCGGTCTATCAATCTTTTTTTTGGGAGAGCTACAGATCTGCAGCTATAAAAATATTTGCATTATCAATACACAGTTGATTCAGGGCAAAGTTAATCCCACTTAGGATCTGATGTCCCAAACTTATGCAGAGTCTAAAAGCACAATACATTTTCAAACGATATTTCACTTTTTTGTTTTATAGATTAATTCACCTGTAGGTTTTAAGCTGTCCCTTTCCGCAGCTTAAAAATACTTTATCAACGTTTTATCAATACGTGCATCTGAATCCGACAAATGTTATTTCAAATAATGTTAACTGTTTTCCCCAACCAACTCACCTGACCGTCCACTGACGCCAAATTTGCTGTTCGCGCCACATGTCAAAATTTAAAACTCACAATTTCGATCCCGATGCAAATAAATTACAAATGCATGCAAGAAACAAATAATAAATTTATGTATTAATCAATCCCCCAATTATAAAACAATTTTAGCAGTTAATCTAGAATATGCTCTACCTCTGGGCAGGACAAAATATTTATGTCTCAAACCTGTCTTGTTATATAAGCGACATTGCTAGGTTACTGGAAGAGAGGGGGGGGGGGAGGTTCTGAGATAATTTTTTTAAAAGAAATAAATGCGTTTCAATTTTTCATGTATTTGGTTGATTTTTATGGATTCTATTGCATTTTGAAAATGTGAAAAACCTCTTAACCGAAAGTTTTTTTTTTTTATTTTAATGCATATTTGCAAGATTAAATGCGACGAATATATCCTGTCCTATTTATTCCCTTGTAACTACATTTCCCCTAAAATTGCAGACTATTTTGTGTCATTTGTAAAACTATCTACAGCTGTCTAAGGAGATCTGGAAGTTGTGTCGTTTGACCACTGACCAGGGAAAATACCCTTTGAAAATGGCGGGGATGTCAAAATATACAACCTTCCTCAGAGAAATTAAACAAATTCTTAAACATTTTTTATTACAACAGCTTTAGAATATTTACCTCAATTTTTGATCATCTCTGGGCTCCTGTAATGCACTTTCGACTGAAAAATGTAATGAACTGATCTGAAAGTCTGCTGCGCAGTTACCTGTTACTGCTTTGTGAATTCAGTTGTGAATTATGTTCAAACATCATGCTCACGTGATTTAATTACGTATTCATCATTCATTACACTACTGCGGTCATTAAATCGTGAAATATAAACTAACGCTGCGAGTACACAATTTTTTTGTTACATGTATATTGTAAATTTCAACAGAAAATCTTGTGCGTGGGTATTTTAATAAACTTTTTAAAATTACAGTCATGAATTACATTTATATGTAACAGTTATGTTTATTCAAAATAATATACCGGTATAAACATACATTGTAGACGGTAAAATATTCATGAATATACTTTAATATATAGGGTATATCAATCTATAATTGCTTGCATGCTTATTTTGAGTGCAGAATACCAAGTCATAATTATATTATATTTCAAGATTAAAAGCATGGCCTAGACTCCCAATCATAGTAGGACTAGGACACAATAAATAGGCCAAGATTTTTCCTCAAATTCAATTTTTCTGAAACTTTGATATTTTGTTCTAGGATACAAAATCTCTCTTTATATATGATATGAAAGAAATTCAACCACACATTTTTTGCCCACATAGTCTGAAATATGGCCTATCATTTAGTAAAAAAAAGTATTTCTTAAAAAAAAAAGTGGTCCATCCGGGACCTGAACTCAGGACCTCTCACATGCGAAGCGATAAACATACATGTACCACTAGACCACGGAATCGCTTTACATGGCATTAAGTACATACAGAAGTGAAGTCACATACATGTAGATATTCATGTTCGGTATTGTCAAAATTTTACACAATCCATGTTTGATTTATTTGGCCTTTACTAAATTAAACAGTTCTAATAGATGTAATAATAACAAAATGTCCGCCGGGAACCTGTTTTATACGCAATAACTCTCCTCATGCCCCTGTGCTAAAAATAGCGACATGTAATACTATAAATATTAATAAAACAAACGGGACAGGGCACTTTGAGAGGGGTGAGAGAGGTCCTAAGGAGTTTTGGTATAAAATTGCATTGCATAACCTCAAAATCTTCTTGAAATATCGCCCGGAAATGATAGTGTTACACACAGACAGAATGTATAAATACGACCTTGAACTTTGACTTTTTGACCTCAAAATCAATAGGGGTCTTCATTAGGCCACATGGAGTTGCTATGTAAAATTTCATTGCAACAGTTCAAATGGTTCTAGAGACATCTTGTGGAAACGAAAGTGTTACAACAGACAGAATTTGATTATCAAACATCACATGTTAATACATACTGATGAGAGCTATGCAACTGCATCACCATTTTAACCTTGACCTTCCCTTTGACCTCTTGATCTCACTTTTCTCAAATAAGTGCTTTGCTCAGTTTTAAAGATACCATTCAAGATAGTGTTACCAAACTTCATATGCTGATACATACTGAAGAGACCTATTCAACTACATCAACATTTTTGACCTCGACCTTTCCTTTGACCTTGATCTCAGCTTTCTTAAAGTAATGTTTAGCTCAGTTTTTAAGAAATCATCCAAGATATCTTTATCAAACTTCATTAGCTGATAAATACTGATGAGAGCTATTCGACTGCATCAGCATTTTGACCTTGACATTTCCTTTGACCTTTACCTCATTTTCTTAAATCAGTGTCAATCTTCATATGCTGCTATATACTGATTTAAGCAATTCAACTGCATAAACATTTTTTGACCTTGACCTTTCATTTGACCTTGATATCACTTTCATCAAATTGTGTTTAAGTCAGTTTTAAAGAAATCATTCAAGTTATTTTTATTAAACTTCATATGTTGATACAAATTGATGAGAGACATTCAACTGCATTAATATTTTAGACCTTGACTTTTCTTTGACCTTTGACCTCACTTTTCCTATATTAGTGCCAAACTTCATATGCTAATACATGTACATAGTTTTTTACCTTGACCTCAGTTTTATCACAAATTGGTTTTAAGTCAGCCTTAAATAAACAATTCACAATATTTTTTTCAACTTCATATGCTGATGAGAGCTTTTCAATTGCATCAACATTTTTTGACCTCATACATACTAATATAAGCAATTCAACTGCATCACTATTCAAGATATTCTGATCAAATTTCATTCAGTTATACAAATTTTCATGTTGCGTTTCTAATATACCCTCGGCGGGGCATTCATGTCCTATGGACACATTTCTAGTTATGTACGAAAAGAAAGGTTAAAAACGTCAGATGCGTGTGTGACCAAGGGGCCATGAAATTTCCAATTTCAGAAGAGATACTCTTATCATCATAACTATGTATGAAGTTGGTCAGGAGCAGAGGAGAAGTCAATTTTCAAAGAATTAATGAATTTTTACTGTATATCATGGGATCATGAAATTCACAATTTTTGTTCCACATTAACCATAGATGATATATGCCAAAATTGGTTGAGCAGTTTCAGAGAAGAAGCTGAAAATATTCAAATGTTAATGAACAACACACAATGGACAACACATGCTGAAAATATTCAAATGCTAATGCAAGACACAAAATGGACAACACATGATGACGGATGACAGCCGATAGCAAATGATCTTCCCCTCTTTCAAGGATGCTTTGTAAAATCTGTACCAGTAGTTCTTGAGAAGTTGAAAATGTGAAAAGCTTCGAGAAAAACAACTACTGATCAGAAAAGCTCACTTTAGCCCTCCATTCAAGTGAGATATCAACCTGTCTCACAATTTCAACTAGCACTTCACAACATGTCTGTCTGTCTGTTCATCCTAGCTGCAGAACTGTAGCTCTCGGCTTGAGAAAATGCGGACAGATAAAGCAGATAAAGATCTACATCTATGTTCATCCTTGTCATTTTATGTGAAGTCCATTTATTAATCATTTATCAAATTTTGATTTCTCTTTCCATTTAAATTTTTCTTAGCCTGCTCTTTCGACACAGTTTCAAATGAATACGCTACAAGTATTTGATTAGAACCGAGTGACTAAAGATATTCCAGTTACACATTACAAAAATAAACATTACTATTGATGCAACCTGAATTACAAGAAATAATTTTATTCAGTTCATAGTTAAGCATCATTACTACAGCATGAACAGACCATACTGACAAATATATCTGACATTGACAAAGTACTTGCAAAACACTGTTCCACATCAAGATCATTTAAAGTTCCACAAGAAAAACAGTTATCAAGGTTATTCTGTGTAGAATCTTATAATTGAACCATGTTTGATACATAAACAAGTATCCTTGAAAAAAAATAAGATATACCCCAACATTGTTCAATACAATGGATGAGGTACATTTATATAGTTATTGCAATATCTGCTCTGCTAATGAAAAAGTGGTAAGACATTGCCTCAAGATCAAATTCTCTGACAATATATCAACTGCCGGTGGTAAAATAGAAATCCTATATGAACTTGGACATCTAAGTTTGGTATAAATGGTAAGCTTGCAAACACTGATCAATTACTACATGTACTTACAAACACTAGAAGCTTGAATACGTAAAGTTATAGATCAAAATAAGGAAGGGAACGTGTTGATTGTGCGATTCAGATGTAAGAGTGATTGTCGCTAACTGTTCTATAAAAAAGTAGAAATGTGCCAAAAACGTCTTTCAAAATTTTATTTTATACATTTGTAATTACTTCTGTCAATGTCTTGAGAGGAATATAGTTTTAGCATTGCCTAGAAAAGTAGAATTGAATGAGAAGGCTGTCTATTTAATGATACTGTAGAAGTACTTTTTTGTGGATTTACACTGTTTACACCCTCACAAACTTTCTGCAGAAATTTGTCCCATCAAACTTAATACTCATATAAGGTATATAATGATAGTTTTTAAATAACAGAAATAGAGATTGGCAGAAATATGAACCCATAAAAAGTATGCCTATTATTTTTTTTCCCTTCTGCCATTCTGTGGAGAATTTTTACCCTTGTTATCAAGCATGAATCAAAATAACAAAAATATGGAATAAATACACAGACATTTACTTTCATTAAGTCATATTTCAAACATAAACAGATAAAGACTTGATATATAAATATTATCCAACAAAGCAATGTCTGCTGGTCTTGAGAGTTCGTTATAATCTCTTTAATTATAACTAGAACTACATTATTCAATGGAGAAAATTTATATAAAAAAAAGTTTTTTAATAATATCTTCTAATAGTGAAGAGAATACTTGCACTCAACATCATCATTCACCAAAGTATGAAATGAAATAATCACAAATTTTCCGAACTTGGAACAATAACACCTGCACCTATTATAAACACATGCACACTTGTACACAAAATAAAACCATCTGACATTAGCAAAGTGAACTGAAATTTATATATACATTATAATAAAAATGCTCTTGTCTTGAAAAAATGTACAAAAAACAAGCTAAAATTAACAGAGGTATTTCATAAAATATGACATGTTCCATGTACGTATAGACGTGGCTCACTGGATTGGCACATTACACAGAATTAAGCAACAGAAAAGAAAGACATATTCTACCGTCACTAGAATTATTAATTTTTCACGGGAAATTTTAGAAATTGCCTTATTTTGGTAAAATACAGGGGTTGTCCCAGAGACATATGACAATTTTATTATCTTTTGTACCATTTATATAGTTCAAAACCGCCACGCCACATAATAAACATATATTGTACACCAAACAGAAATTTCAAAAATATATCTCGATCAATAAAGAACATTTTTTCTCGAGAGTAAAATTTGTGTTAACATTCCTTTTTAAAAACTCATTATTTGGATATGCCGAATACCGTAAATCTGGAAATTTTTACTGTAGATAAATTTTTAGCAAATTTGCGCGTGCATTGAATTCGCAAAAATATTTTTCTTAAAAATAAATCAACATGCGAAGAATTTTTTTCTGAGAACTCGTGTCTTTTTTTAACTTGGTGAATAGGTGTCGGTAAGCACTGGTCATTTTTAAAAGAAACCTGTTTACACTAGTCTACTATAACTACAAGTTAATTACCCGTGCGTAAATTGATGATTTGACAAGCACTGAGGCGGTATGCCCCTTTTTAATTATTTTAATCAATTAATTTGCCAATAAAGAGATAACTGTCATTTTATCTAACCGTGTATCAACACGGGCGATAACTCAAACTACTAGAAAGTTCCAAATGTAAACGCGGCGTGTAAATTTTAGGTGAGAAAAACCAAACGTTGAGAAAATTAGTTATATTTTTTCTTCATTTGGATTATACTTTAGGTTAAAAGGCATACACAACCTCTAAAATATTTGTTATACTTGAGTTAGAAATTATTTTCAGTGCAAATTAATCCTTTTGTATTTTTATCAAAATTGTTTCAGAGCGATTTTGCAATATCTTGCCACGTTGTGAGTATATTGGCGGTATTCTAACTGGGCATATTATTTGAAACATAACCTGATATGAAAATCTTCAGTGATTTTAATTTTTAGCACCAGTGACAATTCGCAAAAATTTGAAGCGTAAAAATTAATCAACAGCTTTTTGACCCAAATTCGCAAAAATAAATCGACGTAAAAATTTCCAGATTTACGGTACTAATACATGTATCTATCATGCTAAAAATGCCAAAACTACATGTACATGGTTTTGACATTTCAACCCTATAACATATTTTCAAAATGAATAAAATATTACAGTGTATTTCCCAACAATGAGCAAAAATTAAATGATTTTGGTCAAGTACTTTATACGATTTTCAAAAAGTTGACATTTTTTCTGGGACAACCCTCACAGGATTATAGAAAGCACCTTGACACCTAGTGGTAATAACAAACTGCACCATGTCTCCATGAAGTTCATGCTTCTTTATGCTGAGTTCATTCAGTCCATTACTTGTTACTATGTGGAGAGCTATTTACAACTAGTAATCACAGTTAGTCTTTTTAGCTAAAATCTTGGTCCTTTGTCTCACAGTCTGTTTGATTTCAGGGATTTTGATCTGTATCACTTAGACTAATTAATGGAGACTGGTCTTCTCTAGAGCCTGAAAAATAAAAGTTTAAAGGGTAACAAGAATACATTGTAAATTTAAATCACAACACCTATTGATTTTTTTACCTATCTTAAAATGTGCTATACAGATTTTATGATAATAATGTACACATATTTAGGTTTTCCACAGCTGATAACATGTAATTCTTTACCAAATTGCTATTTTAGACATTCACTGTGTAATTTTGGGATACCTTTATCTAGGCGGAAAGCTTCTAATGTCAGTGAGTTTTGTCGCCTGACTTTTGATTTGCCGACTTGAATTGTGCCGTGAGGATTTTCTGGCATAAAAACAGCTACTAACAGAGCCAAAATGACTAGAATAGCACCAAATGCAAACGGAGGACCGGGTACCACACTCTGCAACAAAATAAAAGTAATTACTGTAAATACTGCCAGACAATTTCCAAAAGGCTTAATTCTTATCAGTTACTGTAAAATCAAATATTTTCATTGGGCCAAATTTTCATGGTTTGAGGAAACACTCTTGGTTCTTGGGGATTTGATTTCGAGGATTATGAGTTGTTGAGTATTTACTTATGTAACATTTCACATTTCAGGGTGGACATGAATTTGTGGGTCTTTTCATACCTCGAAAAAAACGAAAATTACCCCCCCCCCCCCCCTCCTGAAAATTAGTGATTTTACAGTATAACAGCTAGAAAACTTAAAGCCGCTTCATCCGAAACAAGCACATATTATCTTAAACAATAAAAGTATGTCATTACGTAGATAATATATAAAAATTAATTATAAGATTGATTAATAGTTTATTACAACAATCTTTACATGGAAAACATAAACCAAAAACCTTGTTGACAAATAGCAGTTCCTGACGGTAACTTAAGATTTGTTTTGAAGTCACCTTTGTAAAAATACTTTTATCAGTTATATCTAATTATGAAGAGAATTCAAACCCGAGCATTTTTTTTTTTTCATTTGTAATATCCCAAGTCATGATATATCTTTTAAAAATTAAGAAATTAACTGAATATAGTCCATAGTAATTTTTTTTATTAATATGCATATTTACAGAATAAAGGAAAATCAGATATTTTTAAAGATTTATTGAGGGCTAGTACATTGCCCGTGTACACTTTGTTGCGGAAAAAAATGCTCGGGTTTGTTCTTCATGAGTTATACATGTAAGCGATAAATTTAATTTTTCGAAGGTGATTTCACGCAATGTAAACAAAGGATTATTTTTTATGTGACCTAACAAAAATTATTTTTTTAACTTTTTAATTTTGATATCTTTAAAAAGGAAAAGACTTTTGGGATATAATTTGACAAAAGTTGAAATAATTTATGGACAATTATTTTTCAAGAAGAAAAACGAATATATATTTTTTAGCAATTAGAATCGGACCAAGCGGCTTTAAGGTTTACCGACCCTCTGATAAGAAAGATAACTCTCACTAGGATGAATTACCATAATTTTTTTCATAATAAATTTCGAAATTTAAATGCAAGTTTTAAAAAGAATTTAAAAAGGAATATTAAAATTGTGTGCAATTTAACTATAAATAAAATTTCTCAATGAAAACCATTACCCTTAAAGCATAATTTGAGTTAACAGTGGAATGATGACTCATAAAATTATGATAAAAAGGTTAAAATGTAAAATAATTCTTTCCTACAATGATGGCCTGATTTTGCCAAATAGAAGGGAATTCTCAGCTGCACTACTGAATGAATTTTTCAATGTGTAATAAAGAATATGTTTTAGCAAATCTTATGCTGTTGACTGGATTTTTAAGTACATGTATGTGTTGTACACAATATTTACCTGAATTGCTGACTGGATTTTGTGGTATGTGTTGTTTTCTGGAGATATCACCTGTATATCAGGATCTGTGGTTTCATTTAAATCCACATGGAAGAGATAAAAAATGAAACCAAACAGAGCTGGTCCCAGTCCATTACACAAGCCCCGAATTCCAGTGATGATGCCCTGCGCAACTCCTGTAGGAAAAAAAAGGCGTTATATACCTGAGAACTTTGTTTCATTGGGTCCCAGAGAAAACAAGAACTGATTAATAGACTGAAATTCTGCACTAACAAGAAATTTATATTTAGCTCTACTGGTGTTATAATAATCTTAAATGTTAGCAAAAAGACAGCCGAAACATACGTGTAATTTGATTGTTGTTTTAAAATCAAAATCAAGATAAGTTATGGAATATATCTTTATTTTTCAATATGAACAACAAATTACATCAAAAGATTAAATTTTATTTGTGTGCATTAAAAAGAAATACTCATATTTATCACTATATTTTTCTATCTTTGGCTTTACCTTGCTGGTCAGCACTGGCATGAGATGATGTGAATGCGCTTATGGCGGGATACGTTACACTTGACATGGCAGCAATACAACCAGCCATCCATATCACCCTAAATAATAACACATTTTCTTTCATAACATAATAAGAAATCATTTTTTAAAAATAAATATGCCTTGTTGTCCCTAAAACTTTTCAGCTTTTTAACAGAATTGAAAGTTGCTTGCATTAAGAGGTATGCATAATGAAATTTAATGTAGATTTCACAAATTCAAAATGTAGGCATGTGATTTTTTGGTGAAAACATAATGAATTCAAAGATTTAAGCAGTAACGAGAGTGCTGGGTTTTGTTCTCATTATTTTTAACACTGTGCTATTTTAATAATTGTGTGCATACATACCATGTTTGAGATCCAAATCCAAAACAGGCAAGCTGTACAATTTCAAATACAAGACCAAACATAATGGCTCCTTTATGTCCTACATATTTCATCAACAATGCTAAAATAAGTGTCTGAAAGTTAGGAAAAAATGCATTAATCTTAGTTTACATGCATCGCTTCTGCAATGAGAACGGTAATAAAATATATCAGATAAAACTGAAAATAGTCAAATTCATGAAGTAAAAAACATGTAAACCTTACTTGAGCAACAACAGACAAGACTCCAACCATAGCTATATATGAAGCAACTTCTTGAGCTGAGAACATCATAACCTAGGAAAAAACAACATACTAATATTCTCTTTTTTTCTCATCCTTTTTCTTTTTAATAAATATGAATTCTCGCTGTATATGCCAACTCACTTTTTAACATCTTTCCAATGAAACATGTAAAATATGACTGAATATGTATTTAAGCTACTTACTAATCTCAGGTAAACAAAGAAACATGAATATTCCCCTGCTTCGGGAAGATAGGACAGAAACACAGCTACACAGAGCAATAATATTAACTTGTCATGACCTATTTTCTTTAATGCCTGAAATAAGACCAAAAAAAAAAAAATATCATAAATACATGTAACTAGTAAATACATTGTATGCAACATGCATATTTTGGAGCACCTATGTCTATGTAATTGTACAAAATGGTCAACTCTATATGAATTGGACCTAACTTCTGCAAACAATGGTAACAGTCACATTGTCATATTACCATCAGAGCAGGGATATTTTGTTAGATCTACACAAAATACTTTATTAACTATACATACAGGTATTCTCTGTATCAGTTTTCTCTTATTGTGTTTTTTCCTTGCAATTAACGAGGCTGGGGTGTGGCAGCCATTTTCAGACTATTTTTATCTCCTTTAAAAGGAGAGCTCCATATGAAGATATAGAAAATGATCAAATTTTAAAACTAAAATGTATGAATTTTTTCTTTGTGAGATGAAAGTAGACAGCTTAAGTTACCGTATCTAAAAAAATAAGTTAAATCTGGTGGTTAATTTGTGATTAATTTGTTGACCCCCCAGCCTCCTTAAGGGAAATTTTTTACAAATTTTCAGAAACCCACTTTGGGTATTACTGATATTAATTTTCTGAGAATGAACCTGAATAAACTTAATCCTAATATTTCTATGCACATTTTATATATTGTCATTGCATCTGAAAATGAACTTACACCTAATGGGTCTGCATTCTCCCAGGAAATCTGAGATCCCCAGTTCGCTGGGCGTAGTTTATCAGGCAGCGATTCCGGGACTGCCACTAATATAAATAGAATATCTAAAACCGCTACAGCTGTGGCCAGCCATATCACAAAATTGTCACTATACACTTTTCCTAGATAAGCACCTAAAGCTGGACTAGTCACTAAACTGGCTGCAAATGTAGCTGACACCTGAAATATAGGAACAATACAGGTAAAGGTATATAAATACTGCAAAAATTAAGGTACACCTAAAATATACAAAGAATACAGGTAAAATTAATGAATATATACTGCAAAAATTATGTTACATATATTTTTTCCTCACTAAAAGTGCCATTTTTAAACAACAAAGTTCAAAGGAATTCAATTGCATCATATTTTCCCTTAAAATACAGCTACCCAGGTAATAGAAATACATTAAAAGTTTTAAACTTTTAAAAATACATTTAAATTTTCCATTTATATCATTTTGCATTCAAGCTGTGGGCAGTGTTTGGTTCAGAAAGCATAAAGAACTATTTCTGGATAGGATGACTTACCAAACCGTAGGCCTGGCCCCGATCCTCTTCCGTGGTTATGTCAGCAACATACGCAAATACAACACTAAATGTCACCGCAAATATACCAGATATAGAAAGCATGGCAAAATACCACCTGTAATAGCAAAGAATGCCCAATTACTGTAAAGTTTTGTAGACTAGATTTAACATACCTATTTTATTCAGAGAATTATACAGCAAATATAATTTTAAACTTGTAAAATAAAATCACATACTCAAAATAATTTGGATGATAAATATAATAATCTTCTAACATTCTTTAATTCATCATTCATAATTCTTTAAAAATCTTTAAATTGTACACTTTTCTCAGTCTTAAAAATAGCTTATGAATGCACTACAAATGATCTAAGAAAACCTACATGGGACTGATTTTCATCAGAGGTATTGGTGCACATGTAAAGGAGACAGTAATAAGAAGAAATGGCTTCCTCCCGAGTGTGTCAGATAACGCCCCCACCAATGGAGCACTGAGGAAGGACAGCAAACCCTACACACAAAGGAAACACAATGAACTACTTAAATTGACAAGGAAATAAATGCATCTTTCTTTATGTGATGACAAAGTTGTCTTTGATTCTTGAAATTTTGAACAATTTTACATAATTTAAACAGGTCTATTTATTAAAACTTTGAATTAAATCTTACCTTAACTCCTTGTATCAACCCATTCATAAGGAAAGTGTGGTTAGCAAAAGTGTTATTTAATACCTGAAGGAAAGAATAGAGGACAATTAAACTTCGATCTCTGTAAAATAATTTTATCATATTCATTAATTATTTCCTTAAATGATACAAACTAGATACAAACTGACCATCTGTTCATGCATATACATGTACAATGTTCATGTATCACTTCAAGATCTTTTAAATATTATATCAAACAAAAATTCAGATTGTGCATCATAATAACTGCCACATATTACCAGTAAGACTACAAAGATAAAATGTGATCTAGCTCTCAAAAATGTAATGTGTAAATCTCATATAATTTGCACTAGTAAACTCAGATAGTGTGTCTCTTTTCTATGAGATATCTCTACAAGCTGTGTAAAAATGAATAAATAAATGCAATGACTTGCAACAGCTTGAGAATGTCTTTATAATAGAAAAGCATTAAAATGCTGTTGTTTACCCATGATTATAAAGTAAATAAAGTGAATAAACTTTATGTCATAAATTTATAATAAATGTAATCCAATTGCAGCCTCATATAAATAATAATATTGATCTGATTCAATTATCATAATAAAACCATGGACTTTACCACTTCACTCATTGTGCAATTTAACCAAATAAGTCAACTTACTTCAATAATAGGAGAAGTTAGCAATCCCCAGGCAAAGAACTCTAAAAAGATTACAACTAGAGCATGGTACACACTGGCCTGCCCAGCCACTGGGTCCTGTAAAAATGAAAGTACAGAGTGTATACAATTCAGACTGCTACTCAACACTGTCAATCAAATTCAGTGCACTTTGCTGTTTTGTTTAAAGCAACAATTCATGCATTTTAATGAAGACAAAAACGAAAGGAGAACAGAGAGAAAAAAACATTATGCTTATTTTAAATGTTTCTGTAAAAAATTGCGGGGTTGATAGATCAGCAATACAGTCAAATAAAATGGAAAAAAAGGATAAGACAGCCTTGATTGTACATGTATACTGTAGATTGGCAAATATAATCAAGATGGTTTTAAGTTTGCTATGTTCGTGATTCATCATTTTCCACGAAATTAAATACATCGTGAATGTTATTATTTAATAGTTTAAATAAATGTTTAAATGCTTATACAAAATTTTGAATAAATTTCTAGAAGCATGAAATTAAAACTGTCGCAATTGGTACTTTTTGAGATATCGTGAAATTATAACATCATTGAATTTAAACGACTTACAGTATATAAACAAAGACTAAGTGGTTGCATAGGTACAGTGAGTAATTGAACATGTTGAGTGAAACCACACATTTTTTAGGGATTTATTTTTTGGGGGTGGGGGTGAAGAGACAATTGAAATGTTCTCCATGAAATGTAAAATTTCAAATTTAATACTTTAATCCAAATTAGCATTTTTTCATCCAGGAAATATTTTTCCTCATGAAAATCCTAGTCAATGAAAATATGTGATCTTAACAGTATTTAAAAGCACCTTTCCATGACCTTGTGTTTTAAATATTTATAAATACTTTGCAAGGACAGCTGGGTCAGGGACTAGGTCAAAGTTCAAGCTCAAGTTCAAGAACCCTTAATTTTTTCTAGGGATTCACATCAGTGTCATACACTGTCACACTTTTCATAAATTATGAAAGTGCAAACATCAGAGCACATTAACCTAAAGACAATGCAACCATTTCACACAAAAGTCAACAATTTTCTGTCCATCTGTTGTCATGCAGGATTATTTGCATACTGAATTGACGGTTTTAACACATGGGCATAATTATGTTGTCATAACTGTACTTTAAGTTTATTAGGGTATTAAATTTCAAAAATTCTATATATCTGTCCTCTTTACTGAAAATCTTAGGCAATCTGTAGCATATACGGTACACAATTATTTTAGCTTAATAACATTCAAAACTTTTACATAACCATGATCACCATTCGGTAGGTACAAGCAACAGCCTTACAGGACCATTAAAATAAGGGAAACAAGGGTTTGTGTTTTTTCGTGGGGGGGGGGGGGGGGGTGAACATTAATATACAATGTTAATCTCATTACATTAAAGGTTTTTAATTTGTTTCATTTTTAGCTTTATTAATGGAAAATGACACTTTTTATTTAGGAAAAGGGTTTTTGTATTTCAATAAAGAAATACAAATAGACTTACTCATGTAACTGTTAATGTAATTGATAATTCATTTAATTTTCCACGCTCCCATTCCATCAATAAATAAACTATTAGGATTACTCAATACTGCAATCGCATCATCTCGGGTCTTTCCGTCAGAGGTCAGAAAAACAACCTCGAATGTATTAACATCAAAGGGGTTGGATTTCATTTGTCATACCGGCGTACGCCAAATGCGCCGCTTGACCTTTCGTAACCCGGGCTTGTTACTTCATTTGACCGGGAACGGTTCGCCGACGTACGCCGAATGAGCCGGTCTGAAATGACCGGCGAGGAAATCGCCGGTCTTAGAAATATGGCGGGAAGAGAAAACAACTGTGAAAATGCAGTTACTTTTTACCAAATCGACATGTTCTTTATTTGTTTGCATATTTTGAGCAAATCTCCATTCATATATTTAAAATATATTTTTATTTTCTAAATAATAAAATTTTTCATGAGTTCCTTGTTTTTTTAAAAATTGAATTTCAAATTATTCTACTAAGACATAATGAAACAAGAGGCCCATGGGCCACATCGCTCACCTGAGAAGCTTTGACCATTCTGTTCTTTACCAGATTTCCCCCCTGTAATACATATTGTGACCCCACCCTACCCCACTGATCATAATTTAGACAATTTGAAATCTACACTACCCCAGGATGCTTCCACATAAGTTTCAGCTTTTCTGGCCCAGTGGTTCTATAGAAGAAGATTTTTTAAAGATTTTTCCTATATATTTCTATGTAAAACTTTGATTCCTTATTGTGGCCCCGTCCTACCCTGGGGGGTAATGATTTGAACTATTTAGAATCTACGCTACCCCTTGTTGTTTCCAAATAAGTTTCAGCTTTTCTGGCCCAGTGGTTCTTGAGAAGAAGACTTTTAAAGATTTTTCCTGTATATATCTATGTAAAACTTTAATTCCCTATTTTGGCCCCTCCCTACCCCTGGGGGGTCATGATTTGAACAATTTAGAATCTACACTACCCCAGGATGCTTCCACACAAGTTTCAGCTTTTCTAGACCAGTGGTTCTTGAAAAGGAGATTTTTCCTATGTATTTCTATGTAAAACTTTGATTCCCCATTGTGGCCCCGCCCTACCCCCGGGGATCATGAATTGAACAATTTAGAATCTACACTACCCCAGGATAATTCCACATAAGTTTCAGCTTTTCTGGCCCAATGGTTCTTGAGAAGGAGATTTTTCTAAAGATTTTTCCTATATATTTCTATGTAAAACTTTGATTCCCCATTGTGTGCCCGCCCAACCCCGGGGTCATGATTTGAACAACCAGAAGTTTCTGTCGAGACTGTAGCTCTACTGGTTTGTACTTATAACAAAAGATGAGAAAGGAAGCCATTGCCATCAGACCACAACTGTAGAAGGAGTAGCGTTTAAAAGGAATTTCACAGACATTTCTATTCTTAGTAACAATGGCAACACTGTTCATCGAAATCAAAAACCAATGCACTATTCTATGATACTTATTCTCTATAAATTCAAGTATCTAACGCTGTAATCCACTTGAAACTTAAAAGATCTCAAATTTATTTCATGATCTCACTACTATTGAAATCAGACCAAAATTGTAGGAGGAGTAGTGTTTTAAGGGAATTTCAAAGAAAATTATATTTTTAGTAACCATAGCAACACCGTTCGTCGAAATCAAAAATCGATGCGCTATTTTATGTATCTTAGTGTAGTCTACTTGTGTGCCAAGATATATTGAAATCAGATCAAAATTGTAGGAGGAGTAGCGTTTTAAAGGAATTTCACAGAAAATTCTATTTTTAGTTACCATGGCAACACCGTTCATTGAAATCAAAAACCGATGCACCATTTTATGTATCTAAGTGTAGTCTTCTTGTGTGCCAAGTTATATTGAAATCAGATCAAAATTGTAGGAGGAGTAGCGTTTTAAAGGAATTTCACAGAAAATTCTATTTTTAGTTACCATGGCAACACCGTTCATTGAAATCAAAAACCGATGCACCATTTTACGTATCTAAGTGTAGTCTTCTTGTGTGCCAAGTTATATTGAAATCAGATCAAAATTGTAGGAGGAGTAGCGTTTTAAAGGAATTTCACAGAAAATACTATTTTTAGTAACCATGGCAACCCGTTCATCGAAATCAAAAACCGATGCACTATCTTATGAATCTTTGTGTAGTTTACTTGTTTGCCAAGTTATATTGAAATCAGATCAAAACTGTAGGAGGAGTAGCGTTTTAAAGGAATTTCAAAGAAAATTCTATTTTTAGTAACAATGGCAACACCGTTCATCGAAATCAAAAACCGATGCACTATTTCATGTATCTTAGTGTAGTCTACTTGTGTGCGAAGTTATATTGAAATCAGATCAAAATTGTAGGAGGAGTAGCATTTCAAAGGAATTTCACAGAAAATTCTATTTTTAGTAAGCATGGCAACACCGTTCATCGAAATCAAAAACCGATGCACTATTTTATGTACCTTTGTGTAGTCTACTTGTGTGCCAAGTTATATTAAAATCAGACCAAAAATGTAGGAGGAGTAGCGTTTTGAAAAATTGTTTACAGACAGACGGACAGACAGACAGACGGACGGACGACGGACACCTTACTATCGCATAAGCTCTTCTGGTCTCTGACCAGTAGAGCTAATAAAAAATCTACACTACCCCAGGATACTTCCACATGAGTTTCAGCTTTTCTGGCCCAGTGGTTCTCGAGAAGAAGATTTTTAAAGATTTTTCCTATATATTTCTATGTAAAACTTTGATTCCCCATTGTGTGCCCGCCCAACCCCCGGGGATCATGATTTGAACAATTTAGAATCTACACTACCCCAGGATGCTTCCACATAAGTTTCAGCTTTTCTGGCCCAGTGGTTCTTGAGAAGAAGATTTTTTAACGACCACACCCTATTCTCATATTTTCTTGATTATCTCCCCTTGTGAGGGGACTTGGCCCTTCATTTTAACAATTTAAATTCCCCTTCACCCAAGAATGCTTGGTACCAAGTTTGGTCAATATGGGCTCAGTGGTTCTTGAGAAGAAGTCAAAAACGTGAAAAGTTTACAGACGGATGGACAGACAAATGGACGGACATAATTTGATCAGAAAAGCTCACTTGAGCCTTCGGCTCAGGTGAGCTAAAAAGTGATAAAACTTAATAAATTGATTATCATTTAGTGTAATTATTCATTTTTAAAAACTGTTTTCGCCGGTTTACTTCATTTGCATCTTAGCCGTTGTACGGCGGTCATATGACCGCCGCAATTCGGCGTACGCCGATCAGTGACAAATGCAATTGGCCCAGGATGTTAAAAATTTATATATTTCCTGTTTATTCAAAGAAGTCCCTTCTATAGTATATTTTAGGTAATATCATTACATCATTTGAATAAAGTTAAACTCCATATTCCACAGATAAAAAGTCTCCATGCATTTATTTCATAGATCGTGAAAAGGGAGGGTTGTAATGGCGTCTTCCATATGTCACCGGGTTCACAGGTGCATGAGGGTCAGTCAATATATCGGGTCTCAATAGCTCAGTAGTTAGAGCACTGGCACGGTACGCCAGAGGCCCTGGGTTCGAGTCCCGGTTGAGACATGACCTTTCACCATCTGTGACACATATACATTCGAGGTTGTTTTTCCGCTAGTCGGAAATGCCCGAGAAGTTGTTATTGCAGACAATAAAGCACATTAAGCTGTTGAGGAAATTCGGCATCATGTCATCTCCGTGTTTTCTTATGAAACAAGCTACAGACAAGTCGGATCACTAATTATAATATCATATCAAATATTTCATATATATCGATGGAATTAACAGTATATAAATGTAAAATTCTCAGGATGATGGATCCTTTTCCTTCGCGTATGTCTTGTGACGACATACTTCGCGACACCTTCAAAATATTTTTCACTTTCAATTCCTAAACTCGACATACGGATCAGCTTACCATTCCGTTTTCCTTGATGTGGCCTTTCCGAGGTCCCCATATTATTTTACCAACTACACGTTTTTTCCTACCCATATCAAAAATTCATTCATATAGTAATCGGGTTCATTTTATCAACACTATTTTCACTATCGTCCCATTTTCTCGGCCGACCTTGAACTTGGAAATCCCAGGTCCGCAGTGAATAGTTAGCATAATTTTGGCGCGGAATTCAAACTTCATTTTTTCTAAGAATTTCTTTCTCCTACTTTGTCTTAAAATTTTTTTTCTTTAAGGTGAAATAAGTTGTTCATTTTAGATAGAATGTATTTTTGGATACTCTTTTGAGCAGCCTTAACATAAGTCCGGTCCTCATTCAAGAAGTTGAAGTTGTATCCCTTTATAATCATTAGCCTATATTTATAAGAAAAAATATACATATTTAGATCTATAGCTATCCTTTATGCTCTCAAATATTTGGGTATCCCCCCCCCCCCCAATAAATTCACAAAGAATTTCATGATTTCTCAAAAAGTACCAGTCGCGATGGTTTAATTTCACGCTGCAAGAAATTAATCTTATATTTTGAATAAGCATTTAAACGTTTTCTAAAACTTATAATAGTATTCATGACGAGTTTAATTTCATGGAAAAATTATAAATCGCAAACATAGTGAAATTAAAACCATCGTGATATATATTTGCCAATCTACAGTGTATAACCTAGCTATAGTTGATAACACTAAAAAATATTCTCACCAAAAGAATTAATGCACATAATAAATTATTGAATCAGGGAGTAATAATTCAGTAAAATAGTATTCTTTGATATTTAAGCAACTTCTTGTCTCCATAAAATGAATTGATGATATCTTCAAATACAATTCATCTTCAGGATATTAAATTCACAGATGTTTTTCATACAAATTTAAGAGGTATATAAATCCACGGATTATATATTATTTTCACACTGATGATTTTATAAATAAAGATTTTTCTGTTTATACCCAATCATGTCAAAGAGCACGATAGACGTGACCTGTCTACAGGGGGATCTTACTCCTTTATGGTATCTGATCCTAATTCTGTCTTCAGTGGTCCAATTTGGCTCTGCTCACAATTTGTATATTTTCAAAGGAGTCAAGGACTTTTCAGCATGACCACTATTTTTTTGTTATCTTCACATTTCACTCTATGAAGCTTAAATGTCATAAAGAGAATAGAGTAAAAGAAAGCTAAAAGTTATTCATAATGTCAAATAAAGTCCATCTAGAAGAAAAAGAGGCCCAGTGGCCACATCACTCACCTGAGCTTAGATTATAAGTTAAAATGTACATAAATGCTCCCAACTACCTCTAGGGGATGATTTGAACAAATATGAATCTACACCAACTGCATGAGGATGCTTTATTTATATTTCTTTGACTAATCACATTTCTAGATTTTTTCATGCACATTTATAATTTTCCATGCAAATGTTCTTTATTGTGGCCAATTGCTACCCATGAGAGAAATGGAAAACTAATTGTGACCCCACCTAAGCCCTGGGGGTCATGATTTGTAAATCATTAAATTAACACTGTAATGAAGGTTCCATATAATTTTAAGATTCTTGACCCAGTGGTTCTTGAGAAGGAAATCTTTATAAAGCTAGATGCCACCAACTTTCCAGTACAAGTAATTCTAAATTACCTCCCTTTAAAAGAAGCACAAACTTACATTTGAGAAAAAAACTTTTCTTTGTCGAAGATACTTTGTGTCACGTTTGTTTGATTTTGGCCTAATGGTCCCGGACAAGAAGTCAAACGTTAAAAATTTACAGACAGGACAATATATGAATAGAAAAGCTCAGGTAAGCTAAAAAGCAATACATTTTTTTCAAAAAAATATTTTTACTATTTTTAAGATAAAGGCACAACATTCCAAAAGGAGCTAATCATTAGTTTAACAGATCTATGCTTTAGCTATATTAAGCTCTTTATATTTCCTGGTGTATCAGCTTAATAATCAAAGCACTATTATAAATTCTTGTTTAAAGTTGAGTACAAACATAAAATTACATTACCAACAAGGAAGGAAACAATACCTGTAATTTTTTATTTGTGAAAACTTGTTAAGCATAGAAATAACCATATACATGTATAAGCATCAACTTTAATGTAACAATCTGTAGAAACTATCATTCTGTCTATTGCATTTGGTTTTCTCCAGTCCTATATAATGGTAGACTCTGCACTGAACTGAGTGTCACAGCTTGCCTTCACTGGTAGGGAGAACAAAATCTCTCAGGAAACTTTCCAAATCATCTGTTTCCAGATCCAAGTCTAAGAATTTTTTGACAATTATTTGACTCCTGAAAAGAAAAGAAATCTCACATATTATGTCCTCTAGTAGAACATGCAGTGAGGATCTGATGGTCAATCATTTTTTTGCCACAAGACTAAAAATTCCAGTTTACATAAAACATTTAAAATCTTGACAGTTTATTAGACAATTTTCCTAATGCAATTTTGATCCCCCGTCAAGCAATAAACATTCTCAAAAGATCCAAGTTTGGCCGTGGGTACAGTGTAATATCTATATCATTTAAATTCTGCAAATATATGAATATGCACAGTTCTGCGTGCATCAAGTATCAGTAGTTTAGTGACTTCTTAAACAATCTCTCATTAGCTGACAAATATACAGATACATCTTGTTTTGGTTTCATTCAGAATTAACAAAATACATGTATGTACATTGTATTTTATGCATAATCTTTGAAATAAGTTTACTTAACATAGAAGTCCTGAAACAATGCACATCTTTACAAAGAACAGATATTTCATAATTCTTAAATCTTTATTTTAATTAATTCAGATTTAAAATGCAATGCACTTATGTACATACAGTAAAACTCGGTAATAACGAAGTCACTGGGGCCTGTGAATTACTTTGCTATATCCGTAATTCGTTATAACCATATAAGAAAGTCATTAAATTTATATAGCTGGGGATCCAAGATGACTTCGCTATATCCGTAAATTCGCAATATCCTTGTTTGTACTAAACGAGTTTTGCTGTATATATGAAATTCAAACTTTCCTGAAGCCTATGTTTTATAATAAAGCTTCTAAAAATGGGGCCCCCTAAGAACCAGTTCTTTCTAAGTAGCCAAATGTTTAAGTCCCCAAAGAAATCTTCAATTCTTTTACATGAAAACATCTCATTAAATAAGACAAAACCTAACCTTTTGAAATGAGTTTCTGTATCAACCATGTCAATAGCGTACACTGGTCTATTTTGTCTCAACAGTTCAGAAACCTAAAATTACATTAATTTCATAATCACCATCATTTTACAGTGAAAAAATACATTAATGATCAATCTTTGAACTTGTAACTTTATTAAAATGATTACCTTCACCCCTCTCTGAACAATTTCTTCTGGAAGTCCTGCCTGCAGAGCAACATGACTAGCGTAGCTGGACCTAGCATGTCCCTCCACCAGCTGATATAAGAAAAGTAGTTCCCCCTCCTCTGTTAAGCTGTCCATGGTCTACAAAAAATAGTCTCTTATAGAGCAGAATGATTATGTCAAGTAGCAGAAATAGTAGTTTTTCATAAATATGGATTTCATTTTTCACTAATTATTAAGCATCTATTTTTAGTATGTTAAAGATGCTGATACTTACCATGAACTTAACCATTGGTGACTCAGGTAGTAACTGTTGATGAATGATACTGTGAAAATGTGTGGAGACAAAAACATGAGGACAGGATTTTCCGTTTTCTATCCAGTATGTCAGGCAAGCACAGAGAAGGGCCATTCCATCCACCTTTTGAAAAGTTAAAAATATAGTTACCAAAATTGTGACACTTAATTTGAACACTGCCCTTTCTTTTAATTTATGTAAAGTTGGAGATTATTTTACAAACCAGTTCTGTCCCTTTGCCAAACTCATCTACCACTACTAGTGACCGCTGTGTGGCATCCCTCAGTGCCTCTGACATCTGAAAAGCAAACTTACTACCTGATTTATACAGTAAAATTGCATTTACTATATCAGAGGATAAAATCCTTTATTTCCTATCTAGCTTGTAACACGAGCTTTGATTGGTTACAAAGTCGGGTGTAAATATCCGTGCACCCGACTTGAGCCGGGTGTAAATAAAACGTGACGTCACAATGCATAGTTTTTCTATAATACAAAGCAAATCGATATGTTGAGACACACTCTAAAGCATTGTTATGGGTACAAAGGAAATAAATTCGTTATCCAGGTTCAATCAAGGGTGTACGGGGATTTACCCCGGGTTGTATTCCATACACCCTGAGGCCGAAGGCTAAACTATGCATTGTGACGTCACGTTTTATTTACACCCGGCTCAAGTCGGGTGCACGGATATTTACACCCGACTTTGTAACCTGGATAACTAATATTGTCTTGATTGGTTTTTCTTAACTAAAATATATCTTAAAAACAGATATCTTTCAGCTTAAAATATTTTACATTCAGTAAATTGGAATTACTTCTGCAAAAGTGAATTTCAAAAAGTTATTTTTCCTTAAAATAGCTGACCTGGTTCACGTCTATCATGAAGGTGGAGAGGCCTACTGAAACGCTGTCCATTGTTCTTATCCTGGTAAAAATTCTGTCTACACAACCAATCACTGCAGACTCTGCAGGTACAAAGCTGCCAATGTGAGCCATGTAAACTATCAGGGCTACCTAAAACATATCCAAATATAACCAGAAGTCTCTGTCGAGACTGAAGCTCTACAGGTTTTTACTTGTAGCAAAGGAAGAGAAAATTAGCAGCTGGGAATTGAATCTTTACAACAGCAATAAATAGAATAATGATCCTTCATTAAGTCTCTCTATGTTCTTAGTGTAGTCTACTTGTGTGCAAAGTTATATTGAAATCAGACCAAAATTGTAGGAGGAGTAGCATTTTGAAACAATTTTATAGTCATTTTCATTTTTATTAACCACGGCAACACCATTCATGGAAATCAAAAACCGATATACACAATTATGTATCTTAGTGTAGTCTACTTGTGTGCCAAGTTATCTTGAAATCAGACCAAAACTGTAGGAGGAGTAGCATTTTGAAACAATTTTACAGAAATTTCTATTTTTAGTAAACACGACAACACCGTTCATGGAAATCAAAAACCGATACACAAAATTATGTATC